TTCCTCTTCCCCGCTTTGACGAGAGGCCCAAGAGTGACAGAACTGCTGGCGTCGTATTTTTAGAAATCCTTGCCCCAGGTATTGACAGGGAAAGAATTAAAAATAAGACCACACCTCTGTTTACTGCCACATCAATTTGATCAAGTGACTGCTTAAACTATACAAGTATTTCTCAAGCAGGGCTTCTACTGGAGTAACAATTGTACTGGTCTCAGATGTCAAACACTCAAGCTCAATCACACATCACCCCAGACAGATGGTTAGGACCCACCGCGCCTGGTCTTCAAAAGCCCCCCCCCACCACCCTCCCCCGCAATGCCCGATAACAAGTTTCTCGGGCTAAATAGGGAAATGGTGACCGTAAACACACCAGCCTCAAGCGGAGCGAACAGGTGGCCCACCACATAGGGGGGTCACAGGTCACGCCGCGTGTCCACAACAAAGGTCCACCCGCGAGGAAAATGCTGGCAAGTCTGGCAGCGGGGGGGATATTCCGAATGCTTGCGCAGAATCCACCCCTGCTGCTTACCGATCCCAGCACGAGGCGCCAGCTTCAGTCCAGCGTCCAACCAAAGAAGCGCAGAGAGATACCGTCACGCAGGAAGGAGAGTGATCATCCGTCTGGTGCTTACGCAAGACTTTGGCCGTGTTATCACCGGGTCTGTTGTCATTGGCGGGCGAGTTGCCACAGAGCCCCGTTTCCATCCTACACATACACACTCTGACCCATATAGGTGCTTTGAACCGCTGGCAGGCCAAACAAGATAATCTGGGCCCCCTTCCCAGGAAGACTACTGGGATGGGGGTGCGTAATGGTGTGTGTTTTGCGTCTGGATTTTGGATGCCGTTGAAAGAGATCTCGCTCAGTCACTGAAGGCTCAGGGAGGAGGATACGGGGGATTTCTGATTCCTGAATTCCTCCTAAGGAGTTCTGGTGTAATAAATATTCTTCGCGATCCCAAGATGTTTAAAAAAAAAAAATCAGTTGCCAATGTGCGAACGTTAGAAAACCGAACAAAGACTAACTGCCTGTTTGGAGCCTCTTCCATCTTGATTAAATAATCCCCAGATTAATTAGCTGTGAGTTGCAGACACTTCCTGTGGCGCGACCCTCAAATGGGCCCCCTCCTCAGTCTGGCCTATCGACTTACAGGGTGCCAGAGCTTTACTTTGAAGGCCGTCTCGTCTTCAGAGGCGAAAAAAACCCTCTGATCTGACGGCTAAAGGAAAGGGCCCCCGCAGAGCGATAAAAACCAAGAAAAACAACATTTGCGTAAAGCACACACAGGAAGAGAAAAAAAAGAAAGAAGAATAATTTGGTCGTGAAAACAAGGGGCGGTATGGAACAATGACAATCTGGCTCCTTTGGTAATTTCCTGTCAGCGTTGCGCGTGTGATGTGGTCGAGACTGTTCTGCCGGGATCAATCAAACCTGCGAGCAGATGGCATCGTGCTCCCCCGGCGGACTCGGGGACAGTCTGTGTTTTTTCAGAGGCGGTAATTGGCCCGCTATGTCACGGACCTGGAGCGCGCTAACAGCCGCCGCTGTGCAGCGACAAAAACGCGCGTCGCTCGGCTTTTGAACGGCTCGTGATGCGCTACCTGAGCTGCAGGCCCCATTTCACATCGACCCGAAGTTTCTGTTAACCGCTGCGGTAGTTAAAAAGTTATGTCTGTATCAGAAAAGAAGAAAAAAAAAACACCATTTACAAGCATTAACTTCGGCTGCCTCATTAATCTTCAAGGCTACGGCTGTAGCAACCCCCAGCAGGAAATGCGCCCCACTTCGGCTGTCTTTCTACGGCGGACCGGGAGACCCCAAAGAGTCAAAGGTATCACCTTCTGCATCTGAAACCGCGCTGTAGTTGCCAACAGCGTTTGCATTTAGGTGAGGGAAGTTTATGTGGGTAAATGGAACCGTGTGTGGGAGACTCAGCAAGCTGTATAAAAGAGAGGCAGTAATTGCATGTGTACTGTACCAGTGTGTGTGTGTGTGTGTGTGTGTGTGTGTGGCTGAGATGCCGAGCACTTCAAAGCTTTGATGTTGGAGCTCCTAAATGAGGGCCACCAGAGGTCCAGACTAATGGGACATCATGCGGAGATTAGAGGCCGAGTGTAGCGAGCTGACAACATGGTATTATGTGTGAATGTGTGTGTGTGACGGAGAAAGAGAGTGATCTTTTGTGCGCATTATTTTTTGCAATTAAAAGGGAGAGTTTGACTCAAAGTCTCAGATGGAATTGGTGTTGCAGGAATATCAATAACGCACAGAAAGATGCTCGTTCACACAACGTATCAAAGTAAGAAAGTCCTGGCAAGCTTCTTCCTCAGTATGGTATAAATCCTTTATTAAATAATCATAACAATAATTATAATAACAATCATAAAAAGAGAATTTCTGTACAAAGACCCCTTTAAAATAAACAACAGCAGTCCGAGCAGTGCGAAAGGGTGGGGGTGTGGGTGGGGGTCCTGTCCTTTTCATGTTTGGTCCTCCTTGGCAGATGGGGTCGCTGTGACTGTCGCTGTCAAGTTGCTCTGTCTGATATCGCTCCAAAGGCAAGCTGGATCCCCGAGGCTCCAAGGCACTTTGAAGAGAGTCAGTGGGGTCCAGAGAAGCGGCCCTCGGAGGAGAGGGACCCCTTATGTGTGTGTCTGCGTGTGTGTCTTTGTGTGTGTTTACCTGTTGAGGGTAGATGGGGTGAAATGGCGTTCACGTTCTGTATGGTCTCAAATATAACAACCAGTGTTCCTTTCATTGTTAGGTCCGAGCGAGAGAGAGGGTGGGTATTGTTCTGTATATACATCTGTATATACAAGTAGAGTAATGTGTGTGTGTGTGTGTGTGTGTGTGTGTGTGGGAGGGAGAGTTCTTCTCTCACCCTCTCCTCTCATGGCTTATGAGTCCATCCAGAGCGTGCAACACAAAACCATTTCTGATTGGCTCAAAACGGTCCAGAAGAATGCCCTTCTGAAAAAACAAAACCGAATAAAGAAATAGCTGGCCACAATCAGCCGCTAGTTTGAAAGGAGGGCAGCAGGGTTGTTTGTGTGTGTGTGAGTTAAGGGGGGCCGGGAGGCGATGGGTGGGTGGGTGGGTGGGGACTAGGTCCTTTAAATCTTTAGATCATGGCTTTTTGAGGTCCACATGTAAAAAGAGAGAGATAGATGCCTCCTCTCTTGTCTTGGTGTCGCCTCAATGTTCCTTTTTCAACATTTCCGCTAACAGTTCGCTTTTAAGGCTTGTTGTGCGTCGCACACTTGGTGGATCGAGAAGAGCCGCCTCCGGCGTTTGTTTTTCCTCCCATTTGTCCTCCGCGGAGAGAAAGAACGTCGCCCGAGTGAGAGAAAGGGCTTTTCGTGCTCAGTCATAGTCTCTCTCACCCTCTCCTTGTTTCTTTAGTGGTTTTCAGTCTCCGCCCTTACCAGCAATCCATAGGTTGCACTGACCAAAGCTCCTTTTTACCATGAACCACATGTAAACATGACCTTCTCTTTCACAGGGTCCAGTAACAACAAAATCGAACAATAACTCTCTCTGTCATTAAAAGAATGTGATAAAATCCCTGCGCCCTCCCCACCTCTGCACAAACATTTCTTCGCCTCTTTTTTTTGTCCTTCTACTTATCAGCCATCACAGACTTGCTAAAGGCCAGACGGGAAAACATTAAACAGAAAGTGACCGAAAAAACTCGGACGGACGTCTGTGACTAAAAATACCAGAGACTTTCAGGAACTAAAAGGATAACTGAGGCCGATAGGTAGCCGAGTCTGCGACGGAACCAAAAATAAGCCACACAAAGGAGCTAAATTCTAGGCCACTGTGTTCACGTGTGATCAAAACAAGACGCTTCCTAAGCACGTTCCTAACCTACGACCTTTCCAACACAATGTGTAGCTTACGGAATCCGGCTTCAAGTCCACAATTCATTTAGAAACAGTTCTCTGTTGGTGGAGCAGGAATCTGTAATTGATATGTGTAGATATTTTTTTATTTTTTTAGGCCTAAAATCCCCGCTATGGTCGCCACAGTCTTTCTGTCATTGGTTTCTTTCACCTTTTTTCCGAGCAGGAAACGAGTTGACGCTCGAGAAGAAAAACAAGAAGAAAAGAAAAGTGTCTTTTCCTGTTGTCCACGTGTCCAAAATTCTGCTCCACCAAAGAAGTCAACTGAAAGTGAACCGGAGGAAATGAAGAAAATAGCGAGAGGCCTTCACAAAACGTCGGCGTCTCTCGCCCCCCTCATGTGCGCTCTCTCTCTCTCTCTCTCTTTCTTTCTCTCTCTCTCTCTCTCTCTCTCCGGAACCTCCTCACGCCTCGGTGCAGCACCGCTGTTGGTTCAGCTTGACCTTGTGCTTGAGGCCGTCGTACAGTTCGAAGTTGTAGTTCTCCAGGGTGGTGGAGGAGCGGGACGACAGGCCGCTGTAGGAGCAGGTGCAGTAGAGGAGGAGGCCGGCGCACACCGCCCCGAGCAGGACGCCCAGGGAGCTCATGACGATGATGGTGACCAGGATGGGGTCCCAGGTTACAGCCAGGAGTTTCCTTTCTTGAGACCGCGGGTCCCGGAAGCTCAGCCGAAGGGGAGGCCGTTTCCCCTCCGGGACTTGCAAAACTGTTGGGGAGGGGCGGGAGAGTAGTGAAATTCAATTTCACAGCAGCGGCTTAAATAAAGGCTCTTGGAATGAAAACAGGTTAATTTCCTTGTGCTCACCCCCACCGAACGGGTTTTCGCCGCTGAACAAGACGCAATCTTCAAATTCATTTGGTTTTTAACTGTGTGAGGGAAGCACAGGAGACACCACCTTTAAGCATTAAAGCAAATTGCACACAGAACCATTGTGACGTAGCACAGTTTTGTTGATTTCTGGCTCAGATGTAATACTGTTCACTGCAATGTTAACAATCCGCAACAACACAAATTTATTTATAACTAAGCCTTTTGCATATTGTAAATTCATTTACATCCTGCATTTGCACACACACACACACACACACAAGTCTTGGAATAATAGAAAAATATTACTTTATTAATAAAGAAAGATCATTATGATACATTCTTGTCAAAAACACAGTCATCACATAGCATACTGGTGGTATAAGACTGTTCATTCCGTGTGAATAGAGATGCAAACATCACCAAATAGTTAACATTACCCATCATTATCACCATTAAAATCATCGGCGCTGTCGCTGTCAAGTTTAAGAGTGGTGTATAAGATGACGAAAGAAAAAAAAACAACAACCAACGGCAACAACATTTAAGTAGTGCTTGTCTTTCTGTTCCGCCTCGTGGTGTGAACTGAGCATTGATATGTACGGCGTGGTCTGAATGGGAGGATTATAAAGTGCGGTAAAAACGGTAAATGGCTGCAGCACTTTAGTAGAGCCGGATAGCTCGAGTGTACTTTTACTTTCAATGAGTTTTCTGTCCACTCCGGTGTGCGTTTGTGTCTACGTGTGCGAGTGTGGGTTTGCACTAGCTACTCTTGGCGAGCGCGCAGGGACTGGAAGTATCTGCTTGGCAAGGCACACGTCTCGAATCAGCAGGTCTTTGATGGCCAATGGCGTTATCGATACTGTTTCCGGGGGCAACGGAAATTGGCAGCTGAGGTGCAATAGATGGGAGGGAGAAAGTTAATAAATGTTATCTGTCCATTAACTAATTACCACTATTAGAGGCTTGGAGTGTAACGATGTCGAGATGGCTCAAGCAGGGGGTCCAATCCCTCTTCCCCTGAGATGATTTAAAAGCACATTGAGCGAGCGTGCCAAAAAACACCTCTTCCTCACTCTGAAGTGCAGCTCCTAAATTGCGGCAGCAAATCGAGGCACATTCTGCTGAGCTGTGGGGTAGTGCGTGATGGATTCTTTGCTGGTGTGACAGATCACGAAAAGCACGGCCCGTTAAGCCACAGAGTGAAGACCCCAATTTCATTCAATCCAAGAGTGCTAAACCGAGCCTGCGTCCAATCTCACCACCTCTGCACCGACTGATGAGAGAGAGAGACTGCTGCCAATTTGTCTCGGCTCAGTTCTGAGATATTTCACAATAACACAGACTTTTGGATCCCATCTTTGTTGAACATGAGTAAGCGTTGCATTAGCTATGACTTGTGTTAATATCCATTCACGGGAGCGCCATCGATAGCTGGAGCTCTGCTCTGGTTCTCATAACGTTTTGGATCGCTCTCAAGGGCGTATATATATATATATATATATATATATATATATATATATATACAGCCAAACCCTTCAATTATGCTTTCCAGCTGGTGAAGCGGCATTGTGGGATTTATAGTATAAATCAAGACAGAGATGGCGATGTCGGACAGCTGTGTCTATTTACAACCCTAAAAAGCAACAAGCACATATTCCCATGGACATCGCGACACGGCTCGCCGCAGCACGAGTTTCATCTGGGCAGCTCAAAGACATGGCGAACAACGGGGGGGGGGGGTGGTACGAAGCGCGAGTGGGAGTGTGAACAACGTGCTTTATTACGCCAGAGGATCGAGATGAAGCGCTAAACACTGAGGGCGGCTGCATCCATCACTGACGGATGCCTTCATTGGGAGAAGACAAAACGCTCAATCAAAGGAGCTGGTTATCACCACGTGTGATGCAGGACTTAAAGTATGATGGATTTGTATTTATTTGTTTTGAAATGTGCACATGCTGTGTTGAAAAGCACCCGGATGGACGGATTTATTTCCCTCCTCCGATGCGACGCCCCCCCACGCGATTGCAACGCTCTCGGTACCTTTTATTACAGAGGTACCGAGAGCTTTATTTTCTGGGCCTTGCCAGATCATTTCCACAGCCAGCACGTTGGATGCCTCTCCGCCCGACAGTTTCCTCCCCCACTTCTCTCTCTCTCTCTTAGCACTGCAGGGCTCCTCGTGTCTCTGGGGTCTTGTTTTAGCCTGTGGTTTGGCAGCTCTGGCTGGCCCTTGCAGCGGAACCAGCTCGACCTCCTTCTCTTCCCAGCCCACACAAGTCTGTTTGTTCATGCTGGGGTCATTCCGGGAGGACCGCTGGGGTAAAGAAGGGCCGGACGGCATTCAATGGTCCGAGACAAGCTGTTCAGATAAATAACTTACTCAGACGTCAGTGCACTCATCAGGAGGAGCATAGTGTGAAAAGACTACAGCGAACTCCTTAATGGAACAAAGAGGAAAACAGCAACCGAAGCTACATCCATTTGAGACACAGAGAGAGAGAGAGAGAGCACATGGTTTCTTTGCAAATGTCCACGTGGCAGGTTTTTTTGGACAATATCATCATCTCCGTTGCAACTGTAAACTAGATGAGGGAGAGGTTCGTTGGGTGGGTGTCCCGTCAAGTGTTGCGGTATCGCGGCTCGCGCTGCCACCGGCGTCACGAGTTGGCGTCTCTCCTCTGCCAAAACACAACGTGGCTAAGTGCTTCTCTTCAGCAGAGGGTACGGTGTCGGTCCCGGCTGTCCAGCCTCACGGTCAGCACTGGCTCCACCCCTGGGGCGGCCATACTGGAGGACCAGTTAGAATACTGGAAGCACTGGGAGGAGCTGTGATAGGCCACCGACAGCTGGCTCTTCTTGGTGGCCAGGTGTTGTCGGCAGCAACAGAGCGCCCTGACCAAGATGGCCACCGCCAGGAGAAGGAGGGCGCCTCCGACGGCCATAATGTAATACCAGTGGATGGGCAAGGGAGGCACAGGAACGCCTCCCCCTGGTGAAAAGATACAGAATAATTGGCCAGCGGGAAAAGAGAGGCGTGGCACTTGTTTATTTTCCACATTTAACCGTCTGTTTTATATCCCTATTGCTCTTCAGTGTACAAACAGCAGGCGTGCACCTCATATGAGCATGCACAAACATGCCACTTGCCAAAAAAACAGGGCATACTTAAAATGCATCCATTTCTCTCATGGCCTGCAGTTGAAGGAGAGGTTTTCACACCAAGATTATCAAGATATTTGGTTTGAAATCAGTCAAAATGGTTCATCCGGTCAAATTTTATTTCCCCCCAACGCTCCGACGGAATGACTTGGTGTGAAACAAAAGCCTAAATGATTAGTTATGAAAAGCACTCACACACAATTGAATTAAGTAGCTTCCTCTTCCTGTATTGCACCGGCACAGGAAGTCCCGAACAGCTCAGAACCATGCAAGGATCGGTCCGACAGACCCCACATGGGAATCCAATGTTCCAGAGCTCTCGCAGCTTATATCGGATTGGGATTTGTTGTTTAGGTGACTGGAGACGGCAGATTTGTTTTGAGTACATAATTTATCCTGTTCTCGGTTCTTTCCCATTTTCTCATGCGTCAGCCTCCTGGCCGGTCCTCTCCTCCTAAATCCAAGCTCCTTGGAGACTATCTCCACAGATCCTCTACTCTGCCGCCCTTGGCTTGAACCCCTTCCTCAGACTCTTGGTAAGAACCAACTAACCACATTCCAAGAAGCCTCTATTGGACTATCCAAGGCTGCTATACCAAAACGAACCCCTGAAGACATTGAAAAATAATACTGAATATGGCATCCAAACTTGTGGGGGTTGTAAAACCGGGAGAATGTCAAATTGGAGAAAGGAAAGTGAAGCAGAGCTGAATACATCCTGATTTTTGGACCGTGTCATATAATTACAGAGGGAAATGGTGCGTGCTGCTGCTGCTACTTCACACTGCACACACTCATTAGACAGAGCTCAGTTAGGCAGAGGAGAGAGAGAGAGAAAGACACCCGTGCTTGCCGCTGCTCAGTCACTCTATCTGATTGCATTTCACTGGGGACACTGGTGTGTATGTGCGAGGTGATATTAATGTGTGTGTTGGTGCATGTTTGTCAAGGGTTAGAGACTGTGCTTGTGCGTGTGTGCGCGTGTGAGTGTGTGTGTAAGGGCAGAGGAGTTGAAAAGCCCAAGAAGCGCACACACACATTACATTCGCACTGAAACGCCGAGCTTTTATCTTGTTGGAAGACATTATGAGACGCCGAAACACTGACATCAATCTCATGGAGTCACCCCAGATGCTCTAAATATTTTTCATGAGGCAGACAGTTATTTAAAACCCTTCAGGCTGTGTGAGGCAGCGCAGAACTGAGAATATGGAGCTCTTTTCAAATATCCGACTCCATGAGGTATGCTGGATTTAGCTTGCCTTGCACGCAGAGCAGCCTCTTTTGGGACTAATCCTTTGTTTTCACTGAGACTGACGAGGTGAAAACTGGCGCACAACAGCTCATTAGAGAAATTATCTATTTTCCAGCTTTAAGAAACTTCATTTGGTATTTGGAAATTTGATAATCAAGACTTTAGCGCGGGATTTAGTATTTGTTTGGTGATGTCTGCATGCTGCTGCTAATGCCACGAGGCACTAGCTTTAATAATGAATGCAGATTTATTCATCTGGAATCACACAGCAGACTACTGCAGACTCTGCTTCGGTGTTGTGGACTGGTTTGGGCCTGTATAGCAATTCAAAGGCACCAAGCAAAGAAATAATAAACAGGCTAGTGCATACCAACGGGCAGGGAGCAAGACCAGAGAGGATATTGCATCATAAGATAATCAAACTCACCTGGATTTTCAGGAGAAAAAGCTGCAAAGGGTTCTGTGAGAGCAGAGAGCGAGAGAGAGAGAGAGCGGGACAGATAAGGAGGGAAAACTGTTAGATCATTTTAAATATGAGGGAAAAGTCATCCAAATGTCACATAAATGTCACAACACTATCAAAGTCCTCCTGGGGAAAATTAAGTTAATTCCTCAAATAACTCACATGAGTTATGGCATTCACAGGCACTTGGCCCCTTCGCCAGAATGCAATTTCAAACACTGTGTGAGTGAGGAACCTGAGATGGTGTGGGCTGAGGATTTTGTGTGTGTGTGTGTGTGTGTGTTTGAGTTCCCAAAAGTTCACGCATTTCAAGTTGTTTATAGGCCAAGTCCAGTTCAACTGGAGCGGGCAGCTTTCCGTTTTTTTTTTTTTTTTGGCTTGCTGCAAATGCACCGAGCAGAACCTTGACTTTGATTTCCTGGAATGCAAAAACAAAAACTGATGTGTGTGTCTTAGTGTGTGTCGGTATGTGTGTGTGTGTGTGTGTGTGTGCGCGTCGATGCGGGGGAACTGACTTGGGAGCTGGCGCCTCTTGGCTCGAACCCTAACGTACTGTGAAAAAGTCAACTGCGTTGGGTGATAAGCAACGTCCCAGAATACTCGGGGAGTGGCGAAGCCGGGGAGGGAAGGGAGGAAGGAGGAAACACTGCAGCGCGGCAGGAGGGGGGGGGGAGGGGGGGCGCACACACCGCTTCCCCGTCGTGGTCCAGCTCCAAAGCGCACTGGACACAAGTTGGAAGCGATGACGGCAAGATTTTGGCACTGCACCCCGCTCCCCCCCGCTCCCCTCCTGCCCGGCTCGGTCTCTGATCCTTTTAAGACCCTCTCCAAAGCCCCTGCTCGGGCCAGATTAGGGAGGCTGCGCCCGGCTCACACCAAGCACCCGGAAAGTTGCTCGGGAAGCAGCCTGTCAAGTAATTCCCTTTGACGGATCGGGAAAAGCTCTGTTTAGAAAAGCGACGGAGGGGTGATGGAGGGAAAGGAGAGAAGGAGAAGAAGAGGAATCTAATGAAACATAGATTAGCATCGCCGGGGCCCAAGGGGCGTTTATGGCCTACTTTTACTATTTTTCTTTTCTTCTTTTTTTTTCGGGGCAGGAATAAATGCTGTCCTTCCCTCTCCTTCCTTCTTTCATCTCTGCTTTCAGCGGGATCTTTGGAGGAGAGAGGCTGCCTCGGAAAAACTGGGATGTGAGCGCGGGGAGGATTGAGGGTGTTTATCACTTCACGTGTGCCACTGTTCAAGGACCTTCAGGCTAAAAGTGGTGGAAAAGAAACGGCAGATTGATGGCGGGCGGGATGATGAGGCAATGGTGGATGAGAGGGAGTAGGTGGGTCAAATGTGGATTTATTTACTTTTTCTATGTTTGTCTGCGTGGGAAAGTAAAAAAAAAAAACAGTTTGTCCCAGTGTGTCAGTGAGAGAGTCCCAGTGTGTGTGCTTATACTTACGTGTGCACTCTTTCAGAGGGATGCTAGAGCTCAAGTAGATGTTGTCTATCCAGATGTGTCCTCTGGTGCCGTGCACAAAGAAACCCTCCACGACAATCTACCAGGGAGGAAGAAGAAGAGAAGGAGGAGGTAAAAGTTGAAAAAGAGGAGGAGGCAGAGGAAGGCGGATGAAGGCAACAGGGAGCGACAGAGGAGGGGTTGGTGCGGGGAGGCAAATTGAGAACGGGGACACACAAGGGGAGGAGAAGGAAGAGGAAGAGGAGGGGAAAGAGGATAAAAACTTAATGGGGTGCCTGTGATTTCAAAGTTGCACTCAACACTTGCAATCGTTGCTTCTCTGCAAGCTTCTTCAACTCTTTATAGGAACATAAACCGCTTGTGATGTCTATGACAAATGCACACCGATCCCCGAACAACCACAAAGCCAACAGAGACAGCGTGGCTTACTTTGGCTCCTTCTGAAGTCAAACCTGGCCTGTGGCGACAGACAGTGAGAGCGATGCTTTCATGTGCCCCGAGATGAATGTGTCACCAACACTGAAAAAGGACGTTCTTCGTCGGAGGCGGGTAATAAAGGGTGTGACCCAGATACGTATTATCAGGCACATACTTTGATATTGCTGAGATCGGCCATTAAGCTTTCATCGCATTGCTGTTATGACTCACTATGTTCTTTCAGTACCGCACTCTTTCATAAGATGATGGGTAATTCGTAATTACCTGGAAGTCTTTTGGGGAGCGAGGCAGGATGGTACGGCCCTCCCTCCAGACGGGGCCCTGATCGTCTTTCAGCGTCCACAGGACGGTCTCCTCGTTGTGGGCGTCCCGCAGGAGGACCTTCAGGTGGCCCTGGGCCTCCCCCCACAGCTGGTAGGAGAAGAGGAGGCAGAGGGGCCCGGTGTCGGCCACCACCACGGGGCTCACGAGCCGGGCTCGCTGCTGCTCCGTCTTCAAGCTGGCGTCCAGGTACAGATAGCTGTTCAACTCTGCGGGGGGGGGAGATGAAGGTGCTCTTAATGCATGAGTTTGAAAAGCTAGTGTAAATGCACAGTCCACGTACCAACACACTCTTTAAACCGCTCCGCTTTCAAAATGGAGAACGGCTCCAAATTCAATCCAATTGTGAGTGATTTCAGCTTTTTGAAAACAGAACTGTGTGAAGTCAAGAATATATAGACAACCGCGACATGATTCTCAGCAACTATATTCAACCAAGCTGCTTTAGTGTTTGTGACAAAGTGCAATAAATGAGCAGAGCTCTGTTTTAACCTTGAGTATGCTGGTCGCTACAGAAGAGAAAAAAAGCCTGATTTAATGGGTTTTCATTCCAGCCCTCTAGGCATTAAACACTAGGAGATTTGAAAGGGTGCGTTAGACTTTCACATTGTGTGTGTGTGTGCGATTATAATCATTATTCATCACATACAGGCAGACTTAGACACACACACACACAAATAGGGATTTATATACACGTATGCACCCGTGTACAGTACGTTTTCACACATTTACACATATCTCAAACAAAAACAGAAATTAATCACCAGTCGCTAAACGGACCGGAACCACTCCAACACAATAGCAACGCCGAACAATAGGGAAATGACAAACATAAACACACAGAAGAATAGGTCCTGTGAGAGCGTCATGCTACCAGAACTCCAGCCAAGACCCTCGGGGACTATTTCTCTTCATTCCCTTCCAGGTAAATTACTTAAGGAACGGAAAAGTCGCTCAATTTTGTTTACACCAGAGGATGTTTAGCTTGCAAATTGGATGCCAACATGAATTCCATTGTGGGAGATTGGTAGGCCTACAATATGTTTGGAGTGTGTGTGAGAGAGTCATTCGAGTAGGAGTCTGGGGGAGGAAGATGTCCAGCATCAATAATCTGCAGATGAAATCACCTGCTGTATGTGTGTGTGTGTGTGTGTGTGTGTGTGTGTGTGTGTGCAACGAAAAAGTAGTCTGAGGCAAATCAGGTAGTTTTTTTTATTTTACTGTGTCGGTTTTCGGTTTCCCAGCAACACAGCATGTGCTTTTTTGTCCAAAAGCACCTGACAGTAGCATCCAGCTGGGCTGGAGTTATTGAATGACTGGCTCGATAGCCCTCCGCTGTGTGCGTGCGTGTGCAGTCTCTCCAGCAGATCCGACACACGCGGTATGGGGAGGGACAATTCTTCTTCGAACTGGACAGCTCCTTTCTGCCCACCATACGCCAAGACTGGCGTGGTGTGTGACACTCAAGACAGTGTGTGACAGTGTGTCCTTGGGTGCCATTAAAAGGAGTGTGTGTGAGTGTGTGTTTGTTTTTCAACAAGACACTGTTTCCTGCGGTATGAACCCATCCCGTGAAAAGACGGATGGGGGTGGAACATAAAACACAAATTTGTGTCTTGGGGAGCGGTTTTTTCCTTGGTCTTCACGTCGTGGAGGGCAGCTTTCTCGCGTTGACCCCCCCCCCCCCCCCCACACGCCCCCCCGAGCGCGCTGTTGTGCAATTTAGACAGCTCATAATCGAGACCGCCTTGCTGTACCGCAGCACAGCAGAGCAATATTAATCCATTTCACAGCGGGCTCCTGCAGCGAGAGGCAAACGTTCTTTCTGTGAAGCCTATTTACGTGTTGGCGGGGGAATGTTAAGCCAAATATACACAGTGCATTGGGACTAATTCCACTCGTGTGCCCTAACAATTGGTCTTATGACGGAGGTCAAGAGGTGAGGAGATCGTGGTTTCTGGGTCAGGTGAGAAGAAGGAACCCTATAGAAGATTAAACAGTGATTTGATAGCAGTGAAATAATGATCCAGCGTTGGCTGGCATTACCGACCTCTGACATCTGCAGGAAGGAATCAAAGGCCGGCGCGGCATAACGGCTGGAAATGATACTGCATACATGAAAGCCACAACAGGACTGATCCAAGCAACCTTTTCCAACCCGGGCCAGGATGAAAGAAGCTGCTTTGAAGCTCTCTGTCAAAGATGGCTGTGACCTAAAATTGGTCACGCTTCAGGAGCATTTCTTGCCTTTTGCTCTGAGATTCCGTTGCTCCGCTGAACATGACCCCGGTGACATCACAAATTCGACAAAAAAGGGGGGTCGTGCGGAGCCTCTTGTTTAATTCTCTCCAGCTGCAGAAATGCTGAATGTTTCATGGGGCCAATGAATTAAGACTCCCTTTACGCTGCCTGTGAATAATTATAAATAGAGCTTTAAACCTCCCTAAACCCGCTATAGTTTTTAATAACATGCCCAAAGCTGTAAGTGCGTATATATGAAACGAAAAATGAATTATTCCATCAAGGTGTGTCTAAGTAGGTGGAAGCCTCCACCTCCTTTTGGAATCTCCTGCTCTGACCATAATTGGAGCTGGTGGGTCTTAACCCCTTCCTGCCGAAACGTCACGCCTTCCAACGGGGACGCGGCGGCCCGGAGAGATGGCGCAGATTGCCGACGACCCTCGGCCATTTACATCTTCATCCGCTCTGAAAGAGCGGCGTGGCTGGCAGACGACGGCGCCGCTAAATTAGACCGGTGTCAATTTAAGGAATTATTTTAATCTAATTGAAAGGACCTCAATGGAGAAGCACTAGGAGAATGACTCCATTCAATTAGTGTCTTGTCTAGACCCAGTGCAGTTGATAAAATAAAGGTAATGCATTTGCGCTTGTGCAATTTTCTGTGCCCAAATGAAACCCGCCTTCGCAGCTGCACACATAGAAGCTCTGCAGCAAAGGAGCTGACGCCACAATTTCACTTGAGCTGCTGGCGGCATTGTTTGTCAAAATCCTTCCGGTCGGGCCACCTGCAGGTTTCTGTCCATCGATCGCTTGCCACAGGGAGGGACAACTGGAGTCTTGGCATGAGGAGCAGACTCACCGTGGCTGTGCAGAGACCAGAGCACAGGGGCGTTGGGGTCGTGCGTCCACCCACACAGGCCGTGGTCGAAGTCACAGGCGCTCTCGGGCGAGGGAGAGGCGGCCACTGCGGAGATGGAGAGCAGTGAGGAGGGAAGCGGAGGAGAGTGAGACCCAAAAGGGGCAAGAAAAAAAGAAAAAAAAAAGGGATGAGACATCATCTCAGAAAACCATAACGCCGTTTGTCTCTTAATAACACTATTAAACCGCGGGTTTCTCTTCATTTCCCACACCTTGTTGCCTGGACCCACCTGTAGTCGTAAGAGGGGCGGTGGAGGTGTCCATGTCGGGGGGCAGTGTCGGCGTGGTGGTCTCGGCCGGCGTGCTGGTTTCTGAGGAAACAAACGAATCGCAGCTGTGGTCAACGGTGGCCGTGTGAAACAATCCCCAGATATTAGATTACTGTAAAGAGGACAAATGAATCACCCGATGTTTGTTTTAAGATTATTTATGTGCAGTTTCTCCTCTCACGGTAGCACGCCCCCCCCCTCGCAGGGCCGGGAAAAAACAGAAGCGAGAGGAAGTGATAAGCGACAAAGGCAGAAAGGACCAGGACGTAATGAGGTATAGTCTTTACGTACCTTAAATAGCCCTCAATTGCGCCTGTGTTTGGATAGCGAAGTGAGTCAGAAGGAGCCAACAGCTAACAGGATTGATACTAATACTAAAGCCAGCAGCCGATTAGCGAGGCATTCTCCTGTGTACGAGGCGCTGCGCAGTCATTTTCACCCATAATGCATTCATTCATTCATTCATTGTCCGAAACTAACTACCACTCCCGGCGCCATCCCACCCAGAGCGCCAGATACGGAGAGGGGGGGGGGCGGAGCAAATAGCCCAAGAGCACCCGAGGGAGCATCCCGTCATGTTTTGTCTGGGTGCTCAGGCGTCAGTGTCTGATATGCAGACTCACACGCGTCCACATGCTGACACACACAGACACATTCACGTCGATACAGAAGTGGGGTTAAGGCTGATGGATGGACGTGTCTAACAACCCCACCCTCCCCAACCTTGAACAGCATGACCACACTCTGGGAATACGCTCTGGCTGTTAGAGAGGGTGGACACACACGCACAAACACACAGCTGTTTCCCGCTCGTGTGAACTGTTGTGTGTGTCACAGGAGGTCTCTCTCACTCTATAACTCATGCGCACCAAGAAGGAGGGAGAGCAGACACAAAGTTAAATCTACGATTTCTCTCTCTGCCCCTAACATCCTCTAAGCAAACGCAAAGCAGAACAACACACGGAGGCATAACAATTTGCTCATAGAAACGCAGCGCATGTGCAGAAGCCGACAGATGTGGAGCAGTTGGAATGCAAAGTGGGAGCAAGCGCTGTGTTATCAGGAGCAGATGAGTCTGGTGTTTTATGGAAGTTTACACTGAGGTTTGGGTGACTTCAGAAGGTCCAAATTTATAATGTGAATTAACTGTGCAAGATGTTTCAGTCCATTTAGGCATCTGTTTGAATAGATACCTAATAGACCCTAGACCGACATTTAGGACCACTGAAATGGGTATAAATGGCTGCTTAAGCATATAGTATTTCCCACTGCTTTGTGAGCTGCTCTAACGAATAAAGATCTCCTGAGAGACAGAGCAGATCAGTAGGAAAATAAACAGCAAGCATGCAAACATAAAAAAAAGGGGAAGAAAAAGCCACATGGATTCATCACCACACTCTGCTGGCCGACTGTTAGTGGCAATATTAGATCCTCGTACTGGTCCAGCTGCACGACAGCCATGATCATTAAAGGCACTATCGGACACAAACGCCGCATGATACACAATTGATCCGCTGAAAGGAACTTCCTGTGGAAACGGCCGCGATGGCGCCCCAGTTGGAGAAACGGCAGACATGAAAGGGCCGACCACAGCTGGCGACGCCTTGTGACATTACCCCAGCATTAATGTCATTTCCTTTATTCCTGTCTTTGACTTCCCTAATGAGCCTCTCATCGCTGCCGGCCCACCGGGAGGCAATGGAAGCTTCTTCCTCAAACCCTCCTTCTCCTGTCCCCCCCGTTTTATAATTATATCTCTTCTCTTTGCTTTTCGCCTAACCTTTTCGTCCTCCACTTTTCGTCTCGTCACGTGAAAATAAACCTACCCCTCCCCTATACATTACCCGTGCGTCCCTTGTGAGCGTACAACTAAACACACATGAACAGAAAACACAAGGTCGAGTCCATTAAGATTCCACCGAGCTCTTGAGCAATCTATGCTTTGGAAAGGTCAGGCCTTGTCACAGTATAAATGCGCTGACCTTTCCGGGGTGTGACAGGGGTGTCGGGGGGGGCAATGCGAATGGGACAGACTTGCGCGTATGTTTGTGTGAAGCGGAGAGAGCGAACAAACGTATGCCACCTGCCTGCCAACCCCCAGAGCGCGCCCCCCCCCCCCCCCCGTTGACGGGCGCGGCGGCACGGAGCTGTGCGAGGGGGCCCGTGCGTGCAGAGGCAGGGTTCTGCTGTACATGCGCAGCAGAGCGGGCCTTGCAGTGCGGGAGGAGTCCCTCCGCAGCGGAGTGCTGTCTTACATAATGTGCCCACCGCTGCAGGTGATGATGCAAGACATCATCATGCACGGGATGAGACGCCGGCGCTTAAAAACCGGACCCCGAGGTGCTGCCGGCGTTGATAATGGCGACGCACGCCCCTCACGCACAAACGCACACGGCAACTTCACATAGACATGCCTCGCAAAAACACACACATGTGCCCTGCTCATTTTTTCGACACGTAGACACACCCAAAACACATACACACGCGCGCCTAAGGGTGGGGGGGAAAGCTCTCTGCTAAAAGATATTGCTCCCTCCAAAAGAACCTGACTCGGCATTATGTCAGAGAAGAGAGAAGAAAAAAAAACTTCAATTATGTAGAAAGCTTTTCAGTAAATCTCTGCTTGGCAGACACAGACGCACACACACACACACACACACACACACACACACAGAAATGAATGCACAAGCGTGGCACACTCAAACACACAAACTCCGAAAGGACATGATGGGAAAGATAAGTAGCCATTGTTTTATATTCTAGTTGGTGGGCCTAAGTGCTCAGATTAACATTTGTACACACACACACACACACACACACACACACACACACACACACACACACACACACACACACACACACACAGATGGGGATACAATGTTATTATATAAATAACTTATAGGAACAGCCAAAATAAGTAGGATTTAATAAAGAAAAGAAAAGAAAATAACTACTGAGAAGCTGAGACCCCTGAGATGTGCATATGTGACCTACAACTCAGTGCTCCTGACTCAAAGGACCCATCCAAAAAAAGGAGATATGATACATATATATTTTTACAGATGTCTCTAAAATTTCCTTCCCGAGCTGATACATTTAGATTTTTTTCAAGCCTGAAAAATCATTCACTTTGAATGCTGTGAATGTGTGTGCGCGAGAGCGATAGCTGTGCGTCACCATGGGGAAACCAACAGCATATGAGGAACGGGGGAGGATGCGAAGAGAGGAGACGTGGTAACAAAGGAAAATGAACAAGAAACATTTACAGACCCACGCACTGGGCCTCGGGGTGGGAAAAGAAACAACAGCAACCATGTGTAGGAAATCGGGAGGAAGGCCAGCCTCACTGTGGTAGCTGCTGCTATTTAATTTGCTTATTTTACACCGAGCAAGATTTGGGATAAAGAAAAAAAAAAAAGAAGAGTTCTCACTTTATATAAATGAGAGCAAATTCAACAGGGAGCAGAAAAAGTAAGTTGTGAATAGTGTGAGTTTTAAAGGAAGTGAATGATTTGTAGGTTGTCAGCAGTAGTTCACTATTCCTGCTGAGTTTCGGAGGCCTGTGAACAATGTGTGACCCTCAGCAGCAGTTTTCTTTTACGTGTTTCCCCTCAAATCCCCCACGCCATCTGATAAAAATCACCCCTATGCAAAAAGTGGTAATCCCTTGCCGGGGGGGTTTGTGTTTCCGTTGTTCACTTTCCACCTTTCAGTGCAGAGCAAAATTAAACACTACTTCATGCGCATGTGAATTCAAGCAGATTTGTGCTCCATCATGACCAGACGGATTATTTTCTACATCTTTTCAGAGCCTGATATCCACACGAGTTGCAATAATGATAATGTGCTCTTCTCTAAATTGCTGTGGAACCTTTGACTGCTTATGACACGAAATCAATTTAATACTCACGACTCTTATATCACCCACATAAGCAAGCGAGATCGAGAAGCGAGAAGATCGTCTATCTCTTCACAGTTAATTCCAGTGAAATCACACTAAATCTACTGGTACCGTGAAACACTACCCCTTTTGTCCACAGGGACCGCCAAAGTCAAAGCAAAGTTCCTGGTAGTGGCCTGAATAATTAATCTCTCTTTGACTACAGAGTAGTGCACTTTATCAGCACACACACACACGTGCTGACATACAAATCACCTCAACGACGGATCATTTGCATTTATAGTTATGTGATTACTGTACAGCGGTTTGTGTGTGTGTGTGATTGTCAGGAGAGCAAATGTGTTTCTGTGTATGCTGAACATGTTGTGCTGTACAGATATACAGTCATCCTGTTCAGGCACAGAGGGAGTTGCAAGGACTCCATGTGATACCCGATCGGCTGAATATGTGTGTGTTTCTCAGCTCCTACCTCACATCTGGAGAACAGACCACACTGGAAAGTGAACAAACCAAATGATCCCCCCTCTCTCTCTCTCGCTCGCTCGCTCGCTCTCTGGGGGCGCATTCCTTCAAGCCGAACCCTGTCCACTCCCTGTCGATGCGGGCACTCCAGGTGAGACAATCTCTCAAAACTTTTTGGGATCGATCTGTGCACCTTCTGCAGTCTCTTCACTTCTGGCAGACTCCTATGACTCTCATGCATATCCCAATGCGGTTCCCTCGCTTTTCCACCTTCCTCAAGGTCCAATGAGTTCAGTCAATTACAGCGGGGGCCCGACGTTCCCATATATGAAATGATTCCCTGCCACCCACGCAGCGGGAGAAGGTCCTACCTGGAATGTCACAGCCAAGTATCTCGACTCTCATCCCGATCCCTGCTGGAGACCACCGCTCCGGATACAGCCTGATATACTGGGACACTATCTCGTCAAAATGCCGCAGCTCCGGGGTGTCGAAGTGTGTGTTCCCCTCGAAAATCTGTCACAAAGGAATACACAAGCAACAACGTCGTCATGGTGATTCGTCCGCAACGTGGTGGAGGGTCATTTGCAAACGCGTCACTCTCTTCCTCCACCCACCTTTGGCAGGCTGGTCTTGAAGTCCATGATGAAGTTCCACTCCTTCCCGTTCAGGCTGTGGGCCACTTTGTACTTCCTGACAAACGCCCGGTTATCCGTGGTCGCCCCGCTTCCCGCGTCTCCTCCCCTCGCTCCCTGGGTGATCACGCCGCGCACCGTCGTAGGCACGCCGAGGTCCACCTGCGGAGATCAGATTCAGATAAACGCGCGGCGGACCAATGTGCTTTACACAAAACAACGCATGCTCTATTGCAGCCGGGCTTCTTGTTTCAGCAGGCTCGCCTTTGGCATTCGGAGTACTATTAATTGAAACAACATGACATTTTCACTGTGTAAATGATAACAATTGACTAACTTTAACCCTCCAAAATAACTGACACAACAGCAAGACTGTTGTCTAGCAAATCTGGCATCAAACATGATCCAATGGCACCGGAAAAGAGAACTGCAACGACACAAAAACAACCCCTCCTTACTTGGAGCCACTCCTCTCCAGCCAGAGGCTGCGCGGCAGCTGGGAACCAGCCCGAGCGACTGGCCACCAGGCGGGCGGTCCCCGGGTTCCACACCATGTCCCTGGTGGAGGAGGCGGAGATCTGGGCGTCGAGGAGAAGGCCGGACAGCAGGCCCTGCAGGTCCGAACACGGAGCATCTGGAGAGGAAAGCGCAGAGGGCGAGGATAACGTTAGCCTTCGCCTCGAGGGGGGCCCGCGCGGGTTGATGGAGACGTTTCGGCGACGACCCAACACACACACACACACACACGCTCGGTTACACGTATTCCCGCCTGGGAGCTGTTAAGCTCCACCACAGGGTTGCACTGCTGGCCACTGAGCAAAAGAGTAAGAGTAAAAGCTGCAGCGAAGAGATGCTGAGGTGAGGGACCGGAGATGTGTAGAAAAAGAAGCAATTGGACGCCCATTAGTGAGATGAAAGCATACGTATGCTCCCCTGTTTTGCATTCAAGCCCTTCATAATCTCTCACAAACATCTTAAATATGTTATTGTGTCCTCTCTACAATCGCTTGCTGTGCACGTTTTATGAACACTCACTCACTGACTGAAGGGACATGCAAAAGCACTTGGAAATGAAGCTCATTCAGATATGGATGAGCGGGTAGCGTTGAAAGTAACTAGCAGAGGGAGTTGGAGTGAGGCAGAAGTGAGGATTAAGGGGATAAAAGAGGTATAAACACGAGGAGTCGAGGATGGCGGCTCGGGGGAAGCTGGAAGGAGCAACATGAGGCTCCTGCGAAGACAAACGGAAGGATGGAGGGAGGAGCAGCGAGAGACTGGGGGGGGGCGATGGGTGGGCGTGTTGAGGAGGAGAGAGAGGTCACGAGGAAGGGAGACGGGGAGATGTTAGTTGTGCTGACGGTTTAAGAGAACACAGATCAAAGTTTCATGCTGTTATGTCACTGCAAAAGCAGGAGATGTAAATAATGAATAAAAGGCACAGGAAGTGTTTATATGTGTGTGTGTGTGTGTGTGTGTGTGTGTTTCCCCGGTGGGTGGTGTCTGTGTACATTTCAAAGGGTGCATGCTTTTCAGGTCATCTGCTATATTTAGACGCCTGTCTGCCTGTGTGTGTGTGTGTGTGTGTGTGTGTGTGTGTGTGTGAGTGTGTGTACCTGTACTGTAAGAGCTAATAGTTATTTCGATAGTAGCGGTTGAGCCGAATCACAGTTTCTGGTGTGGGAGTGAACAAGGAGCCATGAATGATTGATCAGAACTCATTCCTCAATATAGAGGAGCTCAAAGAGCACAGAGGACACTGCAACCAAAGGGAAAGGAGGCGTCACTGAGGGAGTCGGAGACAGAGAGCGAGCGCTGTGAAGAAGAAATGACACTGGTGGAGCTTTTGGAATGAAGAATACTTTCCTTTAATTAGCCGGAGGCTTTCTATGTTTAAAAGATGGCAGCGGGAGTGTGGGAAGGAGTCGGATTACATACCCCTGTATGTGTGAGTGCATGTGTGTGTTCTGTTTTTTTTTTCATTTTATTTGGAAGGATATTTTTTCGCAGATGTTCAATGATCTGAAATGCCTTTGAAGGAGAACCAAAGGCGTCGCTGAAAACTGCTGTTCTTTCTGTTCTGTCGAGCTGCGAGAGGGTTTGATTCCGGCAAAGTCAACTTTCTCCAAGCAGAATAAAGCCAACAACACACACACGGACACAAACGGACACACACACACACCTGTGATCTGGCATCCGTAGAGCTCAAAGCGCAGGGCGATGCCGTTCTTCCAGGTCTGTGGTCGGATGCGGACGAACCGAGCCAGAACCGGCTGCGGGACGCGGTTCAGAACCACCTCGGCCGGGTCTGTGTTGGCGTGGAAGATCTGGGAACGCGAAGGGGAACAGAAGGCAAACAAAGGTTACTGTCGGAAGGGCTCTTATCTCTCCTTTTCTCACACATACACACAAACACTCTTGCTCTTCCCCCACCAACAGTGCTGGGTTTCGCCTGGCTACACACACACACACACACAGACACACACACACAGCAGCGGGCCGGACAAAGCAGAGACAACCCAAACACGGATCCAATGTCTCCGGCCCAGCTGTTGATGTGTTTTGGGGTCAAAGGTTCGGTGCTGGAAGGCTGGGAAAGCCCGACGATGGATGAAGGGTTCTCTCTCACACAAAGACACACACACACACAAAGACACACACCAAAGTCCTAACACCTCGGTGCTGCCGGCCGTATAGGAGGCTGCGGGAGACTTGACCTGACACAACCAAACATGATTGGCCGTCAGACGACAGGAAGCCTCCCCAGGTGGGCAGGATGTGAGTGAAATTAGCTTGCCAAAAGCATCAGCATTCACTTCAACCTCGCCAACACTCCCTTCCTTCCACCTTCTGAAGCTGCGGGGCGGCAGGGGGTCGGAGAGCAAATGTAACCTAGGTGGGTCAAGTTACTTCCTGCTCATAAAAGCTTGAGGGCGCGAGTCTCGCCATCTTTCCTTTCACCGTCAAACACTGCGTCCCCCTTCCTCTTCCCACCAGCTCCTCTCTCTGTATCTCAACACCTCCATCTACCTTTGTCCTAAATGACTTGATATCTCTGCACACATCACCTCTACCCGTCATTGCCTTTCTTCCTCTTTTTGGTGGTTACAAACTGAAACCACAATTACACACGCGCACAAAAGGCACAGTAAACCACAAGGGGCCCACACGAGTACACACATCCTACCAACTCAACAGGGGCCGTGTCTTACCACTGAATGACTGTTAAGTGTCATTCCCTCTGTATGCGGTCCACCAGGCCAGCGGATAGAAGACGGACAGATATATACGCTGAAAGAAAAACGCACGCTGACTAACGTCAGAGCCCTGACGCACAACGGAGACAACTGCTACAAGCAGCTGAATTAAAGATTAAAAGGCGTCACTTCTTAGAAAAGATGACTTTTCTGTTACGAGGACGATCAAAACGAACGTGATCCCAAAGTCAAAAAATGTGATAACGTTGTTTTTTTCAGTTTAAGTGACAAACCTTTTTCAGTTTAGAAATATGATATATTGGTGAAAATATTGACCCATTTGTGAAATTCCCTGCCTGGCGCACATATATAAACGTATATATATATTTGAGAAATTCCATAAGCAGAAAGAAATACGAGTGATATGACTTCAAAATCCTACTGGGGGGGTTGTATTTGATTTTGGGCATGGCCTGATTTAATCAAGTGGAGCTGACACTGGTAATACAAAGCAGCCTGAGTGTTTGAACAGATAAGCGGGTCTATATCTGCTGTATCTGCTGCTGGATTGAGGATAGACAGCCGTTGTGTTTACCTAAGAGGCCAAACGGTGGATGGGGGCTCTTATGGGGGTTATGTAAACACCCACGCATGGCGGTTTCATCTCGCTCACGAGCAAACCGTCGCCGCGGCTCTCAGATATTCTGTCCGCGGAACAAAGAGCGGCACGGAGGGGCCAACGGAGAGGAAACACAAAGAAATGACTGAGGGGAAGAAGGGTCCTCAGAAGGATAGTTAAAAACAGATGAAGAGAGCGGCGAGGCGGGTGAGAGAGAGAGAGAGAGAGAGAGAGAGAGTTGGAAGCTGGGGACGAGGTTGAAAAGAGGGCAGCAGATACGCCCGAATATGAGCTGGAAGAGGAGGGAGTGGTGGCGGCGAGTCAGAAGAAGAAGAAGAAGAAGAACAACGAACAGATTCATCACTGAAACGGGAAATACTCCATCCAAGCACTTATCTCTCTGTGAGGCTAAATGCAAGGGACTTTCCCCCATTCTTAAATCAATTGTGGTCATAATTCAATATTCTAGAATCTGACAAACATCTTCATTCAACTGCCAAAACATCAAATTCAATCATGACCAACTCCTTTCTCTGCAATAAATAATTAAAAAAAAGAATGATCAGGTCAATAAATGACTAGTCATAAAGTGGGATGATACGCACGGTTTCTAAAAGTAGAAAGTTCTGAAAAGTCTGGAAAATAATCTATCCACTACTTCCCAGAAATGTCCAATTTTCCAATTGTAAAGAGGCCTGTCATCCCTAATAGGGCATTAGCCAGTGCATTAAAATGCTGCTGCTTCGCTTTATTTTCATCTTTGGATAAAGGCAGAGAATCTGGCCAACATTACCGACATGAAAAGAACTGCTTGTTCAATAAGAATTGGCTCACTAGGAGCTCTTTCCATTTTATTTTTTGGATGCGAGGGGCCAATGAGAAGCTGTCAGTCGCTTCTCGGCTTCTTCCGTCTACTCCACTTCCTCCCGTCCATTGTCAGGGTACCTGAGAGGTCGCTCCTTTGACCCCTGACCAATTCCATGCAAGGTTAAAGGTCAACGAGCCTGAGGAAGCAGAAGGTTGCTCATTGACTAGAAGGCTGATAACGTGGTTACTTACCAACTGGCAGTGGGACACGGATTGAAATGAATGCCGGCATTGTACGGGGGGGACAAGGTCCCGGGCCGTTGTCCGGGCCGCCTGCGTAATCTGCCCGACGACTGCCATGTTGTGAGCCGTCACGTGACAGGACGGTGAGCCGGGGCTGAATAATTGACGTTGTCATGTTGTGTCTGCCGGTGTGGAGGGTCATGAAAATATAACGAGGCCCAGCACCGCGCACGCTGGCTGTTTGTGCGGACATTTGGCGGGACACGGGCACCGCGGGTATTTAACTATTGATGACCCCTCCGGAGAAGGAGGTCACTGTGAATGGCGCATAGCAAAAACACGCTCTTTGGGTTCACAGCTACGGCCGAGCAAAGAGAGCAAAAAGGGGAAACTCGTGCGCCTCAAAAACAGACTCTCTGGTTCTCTGGAAAACGAGGTGTGGATGGATGTATACTTCAGAGCATGACTCATTTTCCATCTCCCCTTTTCTTCTCTCTTGGCACACGTCTCCATCCTCTGCCAGAGGTTTTCCTTCAAGCGAATGGCGCCGCGGGGAACCGGGATCGGAGCTCTGGAGAAGACATTACTCCCTTTCCGGGCGCCTTTTCATCCCTGCGCTGTTCCCCTCGTTCCCGGACTCCTTCTTTGTACACTACACTCTTCATCTCTGTTGTCTTGCTCTAATTATTCCCCTCAGTCCCTCTACCTGCCCCCCCTTCTACCCCCACCCCCCCTCCCCTCCCTTCCACCTTCTTCCCCTCCTTCTTTGCTCCTGACGTTCTCTCCCCCTCCCCACCCTCGGTATGAAGATGTTGACAGTAGGAACTGGTTCCAGCTGTTCGTGCTCCACTGCTGGCTCTAACACGTGCAAACAGGGTGTGTGTGTGTGTGTGTGTTTGTGGTTGACGCAGTGATCCTTAGAAATTGTCCTACACACCACCCCATGTCCAAGTCTGTCAAAGTTTGTTTAACGTATTAGCTTGAAGAAGAGTATAAAAAAACATCAGTAAGAGGCTGTGTGACACGGTGTGATAGAGGAACAGGCCGAGATGCTGTGTGAGCGTTTTTCTCCCAGGTTACTTTGTGTTGGTGTGCGCGTGCGCGTTGGACACACAGCGCAGCCTCACAATGCTTTTCAGTAACACAATGATTGGTTAGCGCTGGGGCTGATGGGATTTTCCTCACAGACGAATGACAGCAAGGCGCCTTTAATGTTAATTTGTCTGGGTGTGTGTGTGAGAGAGAGATATGCAATTCCTTAGTGTGCACACATCTCATCAAGTAATGGGGTGTACATGTGAGTGGTGTGCTTTAGAATTAACAAGTCACAGTGGTGTCAAACTGAGAAGGTGTTGGCGTGCAAAGAAATGAGAGAAAGCATCACACACGCAGACGTGCACAACGCCTGTGTGCTGGTGTGACTGACGTGATTGCAATCTGCAGCTCTGGTGTTTTTTCTCTTTTAATACCACTTTTATTCACCCCCCCCCCCCCCTGGCTCAACCTTTCCACAAACGCCACTGACGATCCTCCGAATCCACATTAGCTTTCCGAGCTCACTGTTAAACGACAATTAGAAGAGCCAAATCCCAGTCATTACAGACCCCCTGACGAGATTTGAGTTTCACCCACTTAAGGGCTCTTTGGGGGGCTTAGGACGGGCAGACGGGGAGTTTGTACGACACGTCTGGTGGATTAGCAGTCACGGAAGATTCAACCCGCAAACCCGCGGGGACCGGACCACCACCGGGCTGCACAGTGAACTATTTAATTATAAGGCCAGGCTCGACCCGTGACCGAAAAAAGTGTCCGCGATGAATCAGAAAGGCGTCGCCCCCGGGCCCAATCCATCCGTCAATGTCTGCAGATGTACAAAGAGAAAGTTGTAATCTGAGATCTGCGAATGCAAAGGCACAATAAGTCCTTTATGCATAATGCGATAGCTCCCATCACGCATGGAGTAAACGCTGCGACGACTTTTCCTCGTGATCATCCACACAGACTGATGGTATATTTAAATCACGTCTACATTTTGATATGGATCACATAAACAATTTTCTAATGTTCTAAGCGCCCAGTATTACGAGCAATATCTCTCCCGATTGCATGTCGATGCATCAGTCCGAAAGTCTTTTTCGCTCAGACAGATTAGTTCAGATTACACGCTACAGACAGACATGAACACATCATGTACATATGCGAACACACGCACAGACCTCCAGACAGAGAGATCAGCCAGAGGTTGTTTGAAGGGGGGGGAGGGGGGGGTTCGTGTGTGTATGTGGAAGGAGTGGGGGGGGGGTTATACGTCGCACAGATGTTGATTTATAAAGTCAAATCCACGTTCCACGAAATAATCTCCACATTAAATACCCCCCGCCGGACCTGCCCCAAACCAATCACTGGCACACACAGAAGGGTGGGGGGAGGGGAGGGGGGGGGCTGGTCTGTATGGGTAAGTGAGTGCGGATCGACCCTCCGCACACACGCACACTCCGCCACCGCTGCCACTCTCTATTTGGCTGCTCGCAATCCACATTGACCTTTGCCCAGATATAAGGGATGGAGACGGGCTTACTGTAGGACACAACAACGCAAGCTGAAGATGAATCCCCCCCTCCCCCCTCTTCCATAAAAATACCGTAACGTAAAAATAATGTTGCTATGAAGCACCCAAACTCTCCCAGTTCACACCTGGTGTGAGTCCACAACGCTGCCCCACCCGCGGCCTGTGTTTATTTGCACGTTGATGCGAGAGAGATGGTGAATAGCGAGCCCAGATAAGGGCACACAGAGCACTCCATTGTTCCCCTCCTGCATCTCTCCCCATCTCTTCCTCCCTCTCTCCGCCTCGTGACTGGGGTCATGACTCAGGTTCACAGACAGTCCTAGAAGGGGAATGACTCCTGCAGGAATGTTCCTCCCCTTGATATGGCCCTGGGACGAACACTACAGCCTCTGTTGTTGGGGAACATATCGTGATGGTCTCGTTAAAGTGTTATCTCCTCTACCTTGTGGTTCTTGCCGTGCCGGTAGACCATCCAGTCCTCCCCGTTGGTGCTGACCTCCAGTTTAAAGGTAGTGACGTAGTAGGACTTCTGCGTCTCCTTGGAAATGGCCCCTTGCGTGGAGATCCCCGTCAACACCTTCAGGAAGTGGAGGTCGACCTGGCAAACGAGGCGGAGAAATCATTTAAAACTCAACGTAGTAATAGAGCGGCTGTGTAGATATTTGAAGGGATTTATGGAGCTCAGGGCTGATGTAGATAACAGAGACAAAGCAGCTGCTGTTTCTATCCGTCACACAGACAGCAGGCGATGGACGCCGACTGTGGCCTACTGCCGAGGGAGCTTGTGTGTGTGTGTGTGTGTGTGTGTGTGTGTGTATGTGTGTGCAAATCTTCACATTGCCGTGTGCAAGGGGAGGAAGCCTGCAAGCAAAGATCAATGGCGTGGTGTTCGGATGTATTCCCGGAGAACGCCTTCATCAATCACCTGGCATTCTCTGCGCTCCTGTACCTGTGAGTGTGTGTGTGTGTGTGCGTGTGTGTGTGTGTGTGTGTGTGTGTATACGTATGCATGCTTGCAGTTTAGGGCCACTGTGTGTTTCGAGACAAGAAAGATTGAGAGCACCGAAGCACTTCCTTATCATCAGTTCACAGTTCCTCTATTTCCTGCAAAGGGGTGTGTCCTCGCCCGTGTACGAGACACCGTTGCCCGGCGCAACCTCTCCTCTCTTCCGGCCCGGCAGAAACACTTCAATTCTATTTTTCACTGGTTGAAACCGAACCTGTATGTACTCCTTGTTGCTGTCCTCCGACGGCGTCCAGGCGTTGTCGTCGTTGTTGAGGCGCGCCTGCCGCGGCAACCAGCGGTTGTCGTAGAAGGTCGTCGAGGCGCTGATCTGATCATCGCTGATCTTCCCCGTTTCCATGCCGAGCACCATGCTGCAGTGGAACGCTGGTGGGACAAAGCAAAGCGTAAAGAATGTTTCTTAAGCGACTGACAGTTAAAAATCGAATGCAGCTTAATATTAAGAGCTTGAGGAGGGAGAAGAAAAGGGAAATCCAGACAGAGGAAGGGCAAAGGGAGACGGAAAGCAGCCCAACAGGTGAGCAGCGGTAAATTGAGGTGATGTTAATTTATATTCTGAAATAAAACAGTAAGAGTTTGCTTCTAGGAAACGGTGCTCTCTAAGGAGGGAGCAAAAATAGACTGTGGGTGAGAGAGAGAGCGCACAGATTTAAATAAACATTAAAGCAGGCAAAGCTGAAAAGTTCGAGAGGCTAAGAGGAACGGAAGATAGAGAAAAAACGACGAGTGCCATCAGAGATGACGGAGATGAAACCGTGGAAACGGGGGAAAGAGAAGTGGAGATGAAAACAGGAAAGCAAACCGACACAGAGAGTACTTGCACACACACACACACGCGTGTTACTAAATGTTATCTCGCACTTACAGTCGCTGACTTGTTTGTGCGTCATGTTGTAGCGGGCGGAGAAGCCGTCTTTGGCCACGGCCATGTCGGTGTGGAAGGAGAGGGACAGCAGGCCGGAGGAAGACTGGATCTCCGGAGGGATTTTCGTCCCGCAGTACCGGCCGATCAGAGGAGACACTGCAGACGCACACACACACACACAGAAACAAATCAAACTGGTCTGTTTCACGGTGAAGGTTTTCTTGGTCCTAAAAACACTTTAATTTTAAAATGTTCTATCAGCGCGATATTGCATTAAAAGTTCTTAATGCACAGATTGTGCTTTTATTTTGAAAAAAGGGAGAGTGTGTGCTTTTGCTTTGTGACAGTACTGCGTATCCTTTCCATGTAAAATAGAAACAGGAACTGGAAAGCTTCAGTAAGCGTTGTCTAATGAGTCGCAGCACGCCGTATTTCCCCCCCTCCCCTCATTCCTCTCCCTGCTGTCCATCCCTGCATCTGCCACTTGTGTGTCAGCCAGGGCCCAGCAGGGGGAATGGAATCCCTGCCTTAATGCAAGCTGCAATGGGATCAGCTGCAGACACACACGGTCACAAAAAAACGCACACACTAGCGGGGATTACAATAGTCTCAAGAGTAGCTCTCTCCGCCGTTTCGTCTAACGTCCCTCTGTTATGCCCGAGGACCCGGCTCCCTGGAACTGGGTTACACTTTAATTTCCTCCTAATTCTAAACTTTGAATGGCGTAAATTGTTTTCAACTATCAAAGCTCCTAAATCCAAGGCTATAATTGGAATTTAAAATCCACTTGGATCCCTTTTTAGAAACAGGAAATAGAATAATTGGAACAAATCATCAGTTGTCGGGCTTCATATTTCAAAAAATTGGGGGAAAGAGAGTCAACGGGTGAGAGGAGTCGGAAAGGGAGCACTGCTATTGAGATTTTCAACAGCACCACAGAAACCGACATTACCCTGCGGCGGTCGCTATCAAAGCCCTTCAAATGTTTGTTTCTCGCCATTTCCTGATTCTCGACCGATTTCGGCCACTTTCGCGACGCTCTGCACCTCCTATTGGACGCGAGCAGATATTCATCGTGGCCATCACTCTCACTCGCCCTGGGGGGGGAGGAAGGAAGCGCTAGGTGATAAGGAGGCAGGACTGGGAGGAGAGCAAGGGGGTGGTGACGGGTGTTATTATGGAGAGGGAAGGGGCTGGGGGGGGGAGAGGGGGCATGGGAAACGGCTGCCTGATAGGGGTGTCGAGTCACTTTCAGCTCTCCCGTGTGAAATAATGTTTCCTCTATGTAATGTGATGGAATGCAAGGCCAGGCTGCTTTACATCAAAGGGAGCAAAGGCTGCTCAGGAAATTGAAGACTGGTTTGCAAATTTCTGGGGGAGGGAGGATAAGCTCTGTGGCTCCTGAATGTGAGTTTACTGTGTGTGTGTGTGTGTGTGTGTGTGTGTGTGTGTGTGATCCCCTCACCTTGCGGCAGGCCGTCCCACACGTCCAGCCAGTCGTACTTGCAGTCGCCCTCTCCCACCAGCAGCGGGTCGTTCTCCAGGTCAAAGGTCAGGAACGTGAGGGTGATGTCCATGTGGGGCGGGGCGATGATCATGTAGGAGCACTCCAGATTATGGGGGTATTTATCCGGGAAGCCCGGGGACTCGATCATGCCGGAGGAGCTGGTGAAGTTGCGGAAACAGAACTCCGACCCTGCGATGATTAAAAGAAGGAGGCGGCGTTTAGAGCGGGATGAGCTATTGGCCGTGATAGGAGGGTATGCAAGCGAGAGCAATGGATCACACTCAGATATCCCATCTGACTTGCAGAGGGTGTTTCAGAGAGTCGTTCATCACCGAGTGTACGGGAGCCCGTGGCGGTTGGGCCGCACAAACACACGATTATGATCAGAGACGGAGGAGAAAATCCAGTGAGTAAATGCTAAAGTGGGCGCATCTAACTCCGCGGCCCCTCTTGTGCCACGAATCAGCTCCGCCACCGTGTTTCGCACAAAATGATGTAAGGCCAGAAACAAAAACCTATTTTACGTTCAAAAAGGTGGTATCATGTCTTTATTGCAACCAGACTCAACCATACGCCCCTCGTGCGAGGAAGGAGCTCACAAACGTTTTAATTTTTTTGCACGCTCTCTCCCACAGGTATGCACCACAAACGTTGTGTAATGGCTCTAAGTGGGCCCTTCGCGGCGGCTCCTCATCACCCATGCAGATTTATGCGCCCGGGGCGGCTCACCTTGAGCTACGGCAGCTGTGTGGCTCAGATCATCTACCCATCAGCCACTGCTGCTCCGCGGGCCAGTTTACCACATTTCCTTGCCCACTGGCTCCTAACATGTCCGCCTTTATGTGTATTGCCATAAACACTCGGGTGCGTTTGATTGTTTGTCGTTCTGTGTCTCCATCTACTTTCATGCTTGGCGTGAGGCAACACAGCTTTGTGTGATAATGTTGCCGTAGAGACTCCGCTGTCATTAGGTCTCTGCTGGCGTGCATGTCAGCAATGCCTGCGGTCGTGTCCTTTCTAAACCGTCTGATGCCACTGAAACGGTGGCTAATTATAAGCACACTTGTTTTTCAAACTTCTCCCCAGCTGAAATTCAACAAATGGAAGGTGCGTTACATTGCATAAGGAAAAGTGTCTGAACCTTGAACTTTCCCATCGTTGAGTGTGTGTTAGAAAAGCAAATAGAGAGGCCAGGTTGACTCCGGGGAGAAGCTTCTGGTGGATTTCGAAATTGCGAGAGAAAAAAAAAAAGGGGGGGTGCCAGTGCACTTGATAAGCAGACAGATATTCATAAAAGCAGCGTTGAGGTAGTGCAGACACGTACACAGGGCATTCCTTCCTCTGCATTCCTCCGAGGCACCAGTCCTTGTTTTCAGGCAGCCTTATAAAAGCTGAGGGGTCGGCCGGCCCTCCCTGTCTACACTTGGTTAATGGTAGGGAGCTGACCCCAATCAGCCCTGAGAGAGGCGGAGGGGGGGCGGATGGGGGGAGACTATCTGTACAATATCTCCCTCACTTTGTTTTTTTTCTTTTCTCTCTAACAGCTTCATTTTGTATGTTCCTTTATTTTATTTTTTTAAAGTGACTCAGGCGTCTTACGTGACTGGTGCATGCGTCGGATCTACGGCGCCCGTCTGCCCATCGATCCGCTTTTCACGCATGAGCGTACGTCGGGGCTGAAGATGTCGACACAAAACGCATGAGATCTTCCCCCACACGTTAAAAGCAGCACTCAACCTCTTGTGTGTCGACTCCCACACACCCAGAGACATCAAAAACACAACCGTGGATCATCTGCCTTCATGTGCAAAGCTTCACTGCCTACACACACACACACACACACACACACACACACACACACACACACACACACACACACACACACACACACACGCAGAACTAGGCACGTTGAAATATAACGGTAATTTGCAGAAAGCTACAACGATATTTCCCCACACATTCAAGCACTAACCTCACCTCTCTGTGTGTTGCATGCGTATCTACAGTTTATTTGAACATAAACATGCATGTCATGAATATATTTAAACAGCTGTGTATATGATGTGCTCTAATGTGCCTTTCATTGAGCTCCTCGCACATCTTGTTTGTCCCTCCGTATGAGCGTGTCTGTGTGTGTGTGTGTGTGTGTGTGTGTGTGTGTGTGCGGCATGTGTGGTGTCTTCCCAGCGAGCGTGAGACCCAGTAACACACTGGCCTTGTTTCTTACTGGGTCACGGTGCAGCGGTCGGGAGTCCCACTGCCACAAAAACCTTCAATCTGAACACAGCTTGACTCCATCGCCTGTAAACACACCACACATAGCGCCATGCATGTGTGTGTGTGCATGCACGTATTTGGGCGTGTGCCGTGGGCTTTGTGTATGCATGGGTACCTTCTCTCTCTGTTCATTAGTTCACAGCATGTGAACACATCAAAAACAAGTGCCCGTCACAGCCTCCTTCCGTCAACCCTCGGCACGTGTCACACACACACACACACACGCGCACACACACGGGCGCGCTTGCCTTATGCACGGCCCCCGTTTTGTGCTTGCATCGCATCACGAGCTGCCATTTGGCAAGAACTGTCTACTGCCAAAAAGGGGGAGGTCATGGTGTGAGCGTGGACGTGTGACTGTGACGGGGTGCAGGGGGGCAGGGGGCGAGTTGCTGGGTAGAAAACCACTCGACTCGTACACATGAGTGCTTGATGTTGATGCGGCTCCACATGTTGTGTCTGGGCGACCCCCTTCTTCCTCCTCCTCCTCCTCCTCCTCCTCCTCAGAGTCTGTGCTCATTCGCTCTTTTAACTAACGCGCCCCGCTCGTCTGCACTCATCTCTCGCTGAGGGCTCACCTCTGTTACAGCACGCCGTCTGCAGCGGCTCCAAAGAAACCCACCGCTCCACTCAGCTCTCTACCTGCCTTTCTCTGACTGACATGTATCCGCTGCTCAGTCACACTCACATCTCTCTTGTGTAATTTCACTGAAGAGAGTGTCCTCCTGAGGCACGTGGCGAGGGCTTTGTATGTGTGTGTGTGTGTGTGTGTGCTCAAGTGTGCATGAAAGTGTAGTGGAGGGAGTGTGCTACACAGCGGGGTTGGGGTGGAAAACCCACAATAACAACAACAACAACAACATCGTGAACAGACTAAATGTTCTTGGCGTGCCACTGTTACGGATTCATCAGTCGGAAGCAGCTTTGTGCAGAAAGGAATTTTCCTCCTCAAGTCCCACTGAGCCTCTGCAGCATGTAATGCACGTTTCTGAAAATTGCTTTGATGTTCTCATTCGTGGTGTTTGCTGATCGCCCCTTATTATATCATCCTCTTCATCTCTGATCATTTGGGTAGTGCACTAATCCGTTTTATCCATTCATGAATTAAATGTATCTGTTTTAGTGACTGTCAGCGGTGGGACGGGGTTAGGATGTTTGAGGAGAAAACGCCGCATGGCAACCCGCCGTACAGCTACAGCCGGCGCTGTCGCGAGGGCTGGCGTCCAATCAACGCCACGGCCTGATGTTGTGACTGCCACTTGGTTGGGGGTCCCGCCCAAGACGGCGCCCCCCCGCCGTGACCCTGCAGATGCCTAGACAGCGGTCACGGAGGAGACCCAACGCCCTGGGGTCCTCTCGGCCTCCCCATGCCCCCCCGTCTTGACGCGGGATTGGCTGCGACGTTATCTGCCCCCGCCGCGCTAGTGGTGGGCTTTGGGGAACTGGGGGGCTGGGGAGGGGGCATTTCTGGCAAGTCTTCCCCCTGTAGCCGTGGTAACAGCGGCAGCCACACATGACGTGTGTGTGAGGGGTGGATGGGGCATGGGGGAGGGAAGGGGGGGGTTGGTGGTAGCCGGGGATGAATAAAGGGTTAAGCACGCATGAGTAGGAGCAAAGTAGGCCACAACAATAATGGGGGGGCGTGCACTATCACTGTAGCTATGGCAGGATTAAGGCATACGTGTACTGTATGTGGGTGTATGTGTGGGTGGGCGTGTGTTGTTTTGGGGCAGGTGTTCACCCTGGTTCCTCTTAAGGCGCTGGCATACTTCTGCAAATGGCCGCATTGTGCCATGAAACCGGAAATGTGAGACTCCGGAAAGGACGTAGTTAGCAGACCAATCGCACAGTATCATTAGTTTCTAGTACGGAAAACACACACAAAACCAGCCAAAAGCAGACACACAGCGTCTGAGTTCTAGATGCGGCGCGGTGGGGTCAGCTTGGACTCTAAGCTCTGTCTGTTTAATATAGGAAGGAAGCTGGACGCGTTCCCCAGCTGCTGAGATTTCTATCTCTGCTCGGTCGCACCCTTTAAAAACACACACGGCCCCGTAAACAAAAACCGACAACCGCACACTGTCCCAGAAACATCGCAAAAAAACATCGCAATCTAGGATTTACTTTACACTTTCACACCCTCGACACGAGCCAAATGCCGTCACATCCACACCCGCGTCAGTGGAAGTCTTGCAACCAGGAAAAAGGGAATGCAACTAAAAGCCGGTAAAGAGGGTAAAGTCTGGTGGAACAAACACATGCCAGACGGGATCTGCCTCAACGTCAGACGTTGTAAGCCCGCGTTAAGTGGAGACCCGCCGCCCGGGCCCGCCACGGTAGGACGAACCGTGTTGATGAGAGAGCGCGCAGGCACCGGGAACGCCGTAATTAACACGTGGCCCCAATCACGCTTCCTGGATACGTTTTCACTCTCTGACTCATTTCTGCTTTGCCGGTTTATAGCCAATCCTTCAAATCCAATCATTCCCCTCCACCGCGTCGGCCTCTGCTCGTCTCTCCCTCTCACGCACAAAAAACACTAGCGTGTGCCGCTGTAAAGCCGCCTCCACGTACATGCGGACAGGCAGAATCTCACGCAACCGGCACAGTGGAACCACCCACACACGCAGCGAGCCCCGGCTCACACAGTGACACAATCTCTGAGGGCCCCTGAGTTTATACTGGGATCCTGTTAAAGCCACGGCAACCGCATCCCCCAATCTGTCCCTGTACATACATACGCGCGTCTTTTCGCGTGGGCTCGTGTGATACGGATCCGAACTGTTGCGTCGTTCCAGCCGGTGGCCTCGATAACGGAGTCGAGCAGATCTGGGTCGCGATCATTGACACCAAACCAGAGATGTTTTCACAAAAGGTAAGATGAATGCTCTTTTTTTTTTTTTGTGATCCACCCAACGTGAATGCCGGTTTAGCCATCAGGATTCATTTTGATTTCTAAATATCGGAATTTCCAGCAAATGGCGCCTCGCCAATCAGCCGGAAACTCATTTGAACATAAATCTTTTAGCTGCCTCAAGGCCGTCTAACCGTTTCACCTCTCCTACTACACACACACACACCTCATCACCCCCACCAGAAAAATACACTCGCCGCTACAATCTCACCCACAAAGTGCGCCACACCTCGTGCACTTCGACGACCTCGAAAAATTCCATTTCGGCACACACTCATTCCCATCAATCTCCTCGCCACCGCCTCTACCCATAAACCTTTAACCTTAAGTCCAACTCCAAGTTGCCTCGGAGCTCTCTCCATCGCCCCCCCCATCTACCCAGGAGAAGTGGATCCTACTCCAATTAAACGAGCATTCCTCGCATGCTTTCAGGCGGTTGGAAGGTAATCGTTTTTTTTTTCCTCCTCTCTCTTTAACTTTTGTTTATGCGCAGGGCCGCCGCCTCCGCTGATGTTAATTATTGTAAGAGTGTCGGGGTGAATGATCACAGGTTTCGGGCCATTAACATGGGACAGAATCATTAACCTCAGTATTAATGCCTTATGTTTGGTTCGTGGAACAGTTGAAAGTTATGTTTCCCACAGAGGTAATCGAAGACTCTTAGACGGGTAGTGAGCAGTGGACCCCGGCCGACTGTGGAAAACCGACACAGAACAGCCTTTAAAATGAATTTCACCTTGAAATAAGCGACACGACTTAGACAATATCCCTTTGTAGTCCAAACTGCACATTGGAATAATGTAAACTTGAAATAGGATTATAATAAAATCAGCGTAATAAGACCAGACAAGCCAATAAAGGCTTTGTGCTGAATGTCTAAAATGCACATTTCTAGGTGCCTTCATATTTATTATTTATTGAAATATTTATTTAACCACATGAATTGTTTATGGACTTTTTAACAAAGAGAAGAAAAAAACCTATCATTGGATTTTAAGACTAAATACTATTAAACAAGAAGTAACATATCATTAGTCATATTGTGTTTTGTTTGTGGAAAAGTTGAAAGTCGTGTTTCCCACAGCGGTATTTGAATACTTTTTACAGCGTGGCGTCTTTTCCCTAACTACCCATCGTGCTTCAGGTGCCTCACCGGTTTTGAAGATCTCGTAGCGCAGGGAGAAGCCGGCGCCCTGGTGGGCGTAGTCCGAGACGAAGCGGATCTGCAGGGAGGGTCCCGATGAGATGATTGGCGCCGGGGCGATGTTGCTGCAGTGGCGACCCAGAACATCGGCATTTTCCGAAGTCCCGTCACGGATCTCGATGAAGTCATATCTGATAGAATGACAAAAGATTGCTAAGTTGCTACATTGAGCTCAACATAGCAGGGAGCTATGGAGATAAAAGGAGCGCATAGAGGGTAGATGAACATAGATGGATATGCAACAAGCCAAGCTAACAAAAACGTGGATCCCTTTAACATTTGCTTCGGGCAGGCGAGCCCCAAATCAAAGGAAAGAAGATGGGGAGGCTTGTGTGTCAAACCGAACACAAAATCTGAGAGCAAAGATGCAGAGAAAGAGACGGCTGGATGTATGTATTAATAAGACGTAAAAATAGACAGAGGAGCTTATGAAAAAGTAAAGAGGCGAGGGCTTGGAGGGAGGAAAGGTGAGGACCTTAAGAGGCTCGGGGGGGGGGTTGGAGGGATAGATTAGGATAAATAAATGTCAAGAGGCCTCGCTTTTTAGCTTCCACATGCTTGAGCTCTCAGCTCATTATAACCTCTGACGAGTCAACTGACCCTGAACGATTAAAAGCAAATTCTCAACTGTCAGGTCAGTGTGTGTGTGTGTGTGTGTGTGTGTGTGTGTGTTTTTATGAGAGCAAAACCGAGAAAGAGCCAGAGAGAGAGAGAGAGAGAGAGAGAGAGATATAGTCCAGCTGGCTGATCCAGAATTAGCTGATAGCTCTAGAAACATGCAGCCGGGACAAATGTCGGCATATATGATGAACAGCAAATGAGAGATAATCTTGTTCTAAAGGTTGCATCACTACGATGTCACACTTAACATCCCCATGTTCTCCTTGAAAATCTCTATTTATAATTAGATGACATCATGTATAGGCCTCAGATGGGGGTGTGCTGGAAGATGTTTGATGTGATTTAGAAAGCAGGTTCCAGTGGTTTTTTGCCGTTTGAATTGAGTTGCTTAGTATTTTACTTGAGTAATGGGCACTCATACCGAAAAGCAACCATCACTTTGCTTTCTTTTTTTTTGTTTGATCATACTAAACCGGCATGATAATGTGTTTTGAAGTTGTGACAAGTCTCCATAGTAGTCATCCCTGGTTCTCTCTCTCTCTTCACGTCTACTGTCTCTTTCCCATATTGTGTATTTTCTGCGTCACTAACTGCACCGCCACAGGAGCCCTGCAGCTACACGCGGGACGCCCTCCCATCGAAACCCGAATGCAAACAAACTCCATTACATCCCGGGACGACGCAGTGAAAAAGACAACAGGGCCGCCGTTGTCTCACTAATTACCGGGGCGGCTTCTTTGATGTGGGGGGAAAAGCTTCACAGACGTCTCTAGGCATTCATTCATTTTTTTTATATGCAACATCTGGCTAATATTCTAAACAGTTTGTTTTCTCGCTACTTCCTCAAACCCAAAAGTAATCAGTAAAACTGAGAGCTAGCAATCAGCACTGCGTGTCCCTTTGTGGCACCAGAGCACTTAGACTACTTTTGTGTTGCGTCTTGGAATAAAACGTGGATTAAGTTGAGTCTCTAAGCCTCTTTTCTTCGTTCATCTCATCCTGCAGTGTTTAAATTCCTACACAGAGCATCGGAGTTAAGACTGCAGATGGGAGGGATAATCCCAGCCGCATAATCTGGGTCAAAGTGGCATATGTACAGGTGAGGATCAAAAGGCAAAAATGCTGCAATGAACCTGCAATGTGCCAGCATTAAATAGCTATTTTTCATTGAAGTAAAAAAAGGCCAGTTTGCCAACAGTTCTGATCTGATATCACTTAGGAAAATGTTTTCAAATAGAGATTCATTTTGAAGTCTCAAATTTGATGGGGGTGTTATCCGAGATGGAGGTTTCAAAGGACGGGGGTATTAAATTGGCTTATGGCAATTGCAGGATCCATCATTTTCGACTCGAGGTCCGGATCCGTCCGCCCCTGCTGCAGCAAGGATGACTGTTCTCCAGCTCTCGCTCTCTAGAGGCCCTCGACTCTACGTAAGTGCAATGCTAAATTGCTGGAGTGCTCTTTTCCTCAATTCACATTATATCTGTGCACCAGCACGGAAGAACACGCGTGAATTATTTAAAGACAGATGTCATTCCTTTCCCTAAAGCGAGCCGCGTACTGCCGCCGCCACGGGGGGCGAGCTCCCGCGGCCCGAACCAGCGCTTAAACCGCGCGGCGATCGAGGGCTGAAGACGGAATCTGCACAGGAAGCCGCAGTCCGCCTCTCTCACGCGCCTCTTGGTTGTAATCCTGCGTTACAGAGGCGATCGTGAAGGCTTTGGCCTCCGGCTCCCGCGGTGAGCCTGTAAGAGCCACCGCCGCTCTCCCTAAGTACGACTGCTTAGGCCTGTAACTGACACACACACACACACACACTCCAAACATGTGCCAACAAACGCACGCGCGCAGATAGACGGACGCTCACACACACGCTCTCCGCTGTTGTATCGCCAACGCCGCGGATAAAAGAGCTGAGAGCCTAATTAGGTTTTAATTGATTTTGGAGTGGGTCTCTATCCCCCCGCGCCTCCCTCTCTCTGCGCCTCGCTCGCTCCTGTCGTGGATTAGCGTCAGTGAGTGAGTGTTCCTCAGATGTGATTATTGACCTGTTCGCTCAGCCTCTCCCCGGGCTCTGATGAATACATGTATGAGGGCCTGACGTGCGAGAGCCCGCTGTCTGTCCCCCCCCCCCCTCCGAACGCACATTCCACGACACACACGCACACGCATCAATTATTTGCACACGCAGACCCAGTAAAGTCGCACACAAGCAGCACAGATACCATTTTTGCATGTTTCATTCGCACCCCGCCTATGTCTGACACCCCCAACCCCCCCTCGCTGTTTCCCTGCTGCTTTCTGTCTGTCTGGGTCTGCATGGTCCGGCCCTGTGTTTAAGGAGCCATTACGGGGCACCGGTTTCCTCCCCACCTTCCTCGTGTTGTCCGCAGAGCAAAGCTCTGGAGTAGAGGAGGGGGGGGGGGGAGGGGGCGTTTAGGGAAACTGAAAACCCTTGAGGGCCGGTAATTCTGCCCCTGTCCTTAAATGTCTTCCCTTTCCTCGGCTCTCATATATCAGTCCGGCAAACCAGCTAATTGCCTTTCGCACCTCTGCTGTTTGTCGGAGACTAGGGACGCCTCCCCCACCCCCGCGGGCATCGGCACAGAGCCACGCACCTGCCGCCTGTATACATTGTTTGTGAATGCACAGGTCTAGACTACATTGATCACTCTGTAAACTAGATCGTGTTTAATTTAGTTAAAGCATCGAAATGCCGACGCAACATGAACAAAGCTTGCAGGGGGAGCGTCGAAACTGCACAAAGGATTAACGGATAATTTGCTGCGGCCGTCTGATTCGTTTTGTTTGTGCCCATAAAAGAGCAACAGCTGCTCTGGTACATCAGCAAACCGACTTGGCCGTGCTCACACACTTGAGGCCTTCAGTAGGAATGATTTCCCTCTTTGCTCTGCTCTCTTCTGTGTGTGTGTGTGTGTGTGTCCGCCCCCCTCACTGTGTTTTTTCGTTCTCGGAGAACCAGATCCCAAACCGGTAAACAATGAAGAAACGTCTTTCGCTTCCTCCGTCTCTCTCTCAGTGATGGATACAAAAGCAGAAAGTAAGTTGAAGGGTTTGACACACACACACACACACACACACACACACACCATCCAATCCTCCCACCCTCAATCGGGACTCTAATAAACCATAAGTGCCTCTGAAATATTAACTAGATGAATCCCTGGGCCTGCCAGACCCCCCCCCCCCCCCAAAAAAATAGCCCTTCCCTCTACCTCGTCTCCTCGTGCCTCACCCATCTCCCCCGTGCCTCACAGAGCCGTACTAACACAAGGCTGAGGCCTGACCGCTGACCACAGGCCGTCTGGGCTCGGCCCCGGACCTTCTCGAGCGCCATCGATCTGAAACATCAGACTATAACTGCCGTCTGAGCCGAAGCCGTGACCCTGCTCTCCCCGCTGGATGCATTAGAAATCCTCGATCAACAAGGCTATTTGTATCTGCAGAGAGTCCAGACAGAATTTAGAGGACTCTTTATTTGGTCCGAGGCTTGACTCAGCTTATGAAAACGCGTGTAAATAAAGAAGGCATGGATAATGGCTTTTCCCTTTTTGAGTTACTTATCACATCCACATCAGCTGAAGACTGTGAGCTTGTCCTCATCGCCTTCCAAGTGCCGGTTATTGACGGATCAGAACCTGAACAACTCCCTTCTGTCGTGACCTCTGGCGGGTCATCTGTCTCTCCTCTCATCCCCGTCTCTCTCCCTCCCCGGGCCATTACTGATCATCTATCGATCTCCCGTTACAAGCGCTGTACAGATCCCACACCTCGCCGAGCGCCCTTCGGGTATCAGCAATAAGGGTGACGTCATGGTCACGGGAGAGTTGTTGCTTCGTCTCCCTGTGATCCAAAGAGATTTACAGCTGTGCGAGCGCGCAAAGTTATAAAGTTATACCATCAAATCTTCCCACCTCGGGCCGCGGTCAATAACAAATAACCAAAAAAATAAGTGAGGAATAAAAATCACAAAGGTGAAAGAAATGGATCTTCAGAAAGGACGACAGACTTTTATGGCGCGTGTGTGTGTGTGTGTGTGTGTGTGTATGGGATACGGTTTCAATGTTTAATGCGAGTGTGTAAAAATAAAACACCTCCTCCTGAGGCCAGAGAAGAACAAAAGGGAGGAAAGACATAGATCAAGAATGGGAGGGAGATGAAGCGAAAGCGAGAGGGCTGTGGAGAGGGAGGGGGAATCGTTCAGCTGGTGTATCACTAGGTAGCATCCTGGGGCTCGGCGATGGCAGATTGCATTAGAGATATGGGCCTGATATTTCATCTAGCCGTTATTACATTTAGTTCACATCAATCGGCTGGCAACCCGGAGCTAAGAGCTATTTGGCACGTGGCCGGACTCCCCCTGAAATGAAATCCTGAATTAAAGTGCCACCTCAGAGCAGGAGCGCCTGCACGGGGCTGCGGATTCGATTGCTGCAGTGGAGCCGCGGTCTGGCCACGTTGCATCTTCAGAGCGCCGACTGTTTGAACCCAATGATGGAAAATCTCCAGATGTCAAGCGATGTTAGACCCCCTTGCCTGTGCTGACTAAGCACTTTTCTCTGTTTTATCAGGGATTAAAGTGCCCAAAGGGTGGGGGGATTTTGATGCTTCAGGAGCGCTCCTACGCCGACAGGTTGCACGCCGGAGTGAAGTGCGTACGTGGCCGTGCACAACGAAAACACGTGTCCATTCACCATCTATGTAACTTTGTTAGTATGTATGTTTCTGGTTTCTCCCTTGCTGCCGGCTCCGTAATCCCAGCTGTCACGCAGATTTTCAGCCTTGACCAAGATGGCGAGCCCTCCACCTCCGCAGCCGCTTCCGGCTCCCTTCGCCCAAACCTCGCGAAAGGACCGTGAAAACATGCAGAAATCGACTCTCTGCCCCCCCCCTCACACTGCCATGCCGAATCATACACGCAAAAAAAGGACGCTGCTTGTAAAAGCAGCTACAGGGCTCGGATCAATCCGGGTAAAAGGCATAGCACAGGACGGAGAGAGTGCGGATATCGAGCCAGACTTTGGCCTTTTCCACTTATTTCTTCTGCTATTTAGGCGCTCCAAAGGGAAAACGCATCCCCGTGACCACAAGAGGGAAAACACAGGCATGTTGGAGGCTATGCATAAATAAAAGTTGCTGTGATCCTGTGAAAAATGGGGCGATCGCCAGAAGGCCGGATGGACGGATAGGTGGAAAGAAGGATGAAGGGAAGCTCAAACTCACTGGCATTGCTCGCAGAGTTACTCACACGGAGACGCCTCCCCCTCCCACCCACTCTCTCTGACTCTCACACTCGTACATACAGGAAGACGGGAGTTTGAGTGGGAGTGTGTGTTGGGAGGGCAGGCCAAAGCCTCGGGGCCCTCCAGGCGTGTGTAAGAAAAAGGAAGAGGAAAAAACGGAAGAAAAAACTCATCCCAATGAAACCTTCTGTGGAGAAGAGAAACGAGGAGGCAATTTCAGTTTTCTTTCCTCCTCCCTCGGCCTCCTATAGCCCTGCACGCCTCGGGCTGTGAGAAACTGCTTGACACACTGCTTATCAGCTGCTGAGCCCCCCCCCGTCCCCCCCGTCCCCCCCCGTCCCCTGTGCTCGGGCAGTGCAGTGAGCTGCCGCGTCGACACCGTGACGCAGTCACTCAGAAGTCGTACCGCCGTGGAGATAATTATGCAACATTTTGCACCGAGGCATCAAAATAACGTCGGGCCGCCCCGCTGCGACGTGACACGGCTCTGTGGACGGAACCGACTCATCGATGGCGTCACGAAAGGGACCGGCCGGACAAATTGCTTTGTCAGGGAACAATGCCAAAATAAAAAACTGAAAAACACAAACATGTGGGATTATTAATTCCTCAATTTGCAGTGGGAAGGGAGGCCTGAGGGAATAAACGGCCATAACAGCCGAGACTACACTGAAACTTCTCGTCTGTGTTCACTTTAAACAGACAACGAGAAAGTGGGTGAACTGCGTAACATTCCCCCTGACACTGTTTTACTAAAATGGATTTAACAGTGGAGGCCGTGACCTCTTCCTCCTTCCTCTGAGGTCAAAGACAATAGAAGACCATATGATTTGGATTATTTGTCTCTCTGAGAAAGCTTATGCGGTCACATCCAGTCAAACAGCTGGGCTCCATCTTCTTATTCTTCCCCATTTATTCTCATTAACTTCAACTACATCATAATACTTTTCTCTCATACAATCTGGTCTTTCTTTGCGTTACGTTCTCCCCGAGGACTATTGTGATGAAACTGAATAGGTTGTTAAAGAACAGTAATTCTCAAGCTGCGTCTAAGCTTTTTGAGGAGAGCATGTTTTGCCCTTCAGCATGAGAAGAATAAAACTAAATACCTTTTGACAAAACATGTTACATCACCAGTGGAAGAAGGGATTATTGAGGCGAATCACTCGTTCCGTGCAGTCTTTATTGTGACCCGCTCGTCCTTCATCCACCAGCACATTCCCTGTTGAGGTAACGTGCAGCTGATGTGCCCTTGAGCAAGGGATTCAAGCCACCTGTTGCTCCAAATCAGCCTTTAAAATGGCTGAAATGACAAAAGGCTGCGCTTGCACTGGGCAGCATCCAGGACGTGATGCGGTGGGGGGGTGAGAAAGTGAAAAGGGGGGGGGGGCAGAAAAGAGCTGCTGCACTCGCCACTCTCAGAAAAAAGAAAGAAAAAAACCCCCAGTGCACTTAATGTCTGCGTTTTGCAGAAAGCTTGACAATTAAAATTTCCTTTGCAACTGACCTGTTGTGGTCAAAATGTGGAAAACGCTTCAACGATTTGGGATTAAGCCAATGAATAATAATGGTGTAATGGGGAAAAAACAAACTAAAAACGGTGCTTTAACAGGAAATTGCTTATTCGAGAATGCAAATGCCTTTGCAAGATACTGATGAAAATGTCAACACAAATCATTTATTCAGCCAGAATAATAATAATACACAAGGCTCATTGGCTTCAGTCATTATTCCATCCGTCTTACTTGCAGTCCAGCCGCTCTATCTCAAAGTGTGGGTTGAAGTTGAGGACGATGCGCTGCGACGGCTCCGGCGCCGTGACGATCCAGTGACAGTTCTGGTGAGGCGGGTACTCCAGAGGATAACCGGGGGAGGTGATGTAACCGGCCTTGCTGGCATCAAAGAGGCCTCCGCACTCCGCCGCTGTGAGAGGGAGAGATACGGAAGGGTGAGGCACAGTTAATGACTTTTAAACTCCGCAAACTGAGCGTGTTTCTACATCTGTCATTTGCGCGGCAGGCCCGGCGTCACACCGTACAAATCCCCAGTAAATGACAGCGACTCGGAGGACGCTCCGGGTTTTTATCTCGTTTCTCAGCATGAAGATGTGATGAGCAACAAATGAGCAGTAAAACAAAGAAAGCAATTTTAGGCCGTCAGTTTGGAGGAAATTGGAAAAACTTCTCCATTGTGGATTGTCAATGCGAGTAGGGCCGCGTTGGGCGAGCTATTAAAACAATAAAAGATCATCAATGCTGCATTTGTTGGCTGCGCACGCACGCACGCACACACACACACACACACACACACACACACAGAGAAATGCACGGAGCCTCTTGCCACCCCCTTCCACATCCAGGCTCTTATCTCCCCGCAGGGAGCGTTCACCAAGTGTAATTGTTGCTCCGGCAAGCCAATCTGCAAACATTAGGACACATTCCCCGATCCTATCACGCTCTCCCAGGAACAATAGCCCGCCAATGGCGTCGCTCGGCGGGCTTCGGCAGGAAGTGACACGCAGACGGCCTGTCTGCCGGGGTTCTGGGGGTCACCCCGACTCTGTAATGAGAAGCCCAGCGCGGCAACAAAAGGCCCCATTCTCTGCTCGCGGGCCGGACAGCTAAAGCGGCTCTCGCGCCTCGCGTTATCTCCCATAAACACGCCAAACACATAAACTCACGTGCACATACAAAAGAAACATGTCGTCTGCGTGTGCACACTCACACACACACACACACAACGGGACAGAGCGCTCACACGTACGCAGCGCTGTGCACAATGGTTCTTTTATTACTCTCGCATTGCAGTAGGTTTTCAGGCATTATTACTCTCCGCGGAGGCAAAGGAGCAACGTGTTCTCCATGACAACAAGCGGGAATGGGTACCTCTGTATATGTGTGTGGGGTCGTGGATGCGCCAGTGGGATCTCTCAATGTAATGAACTTTATGATATTGGACTCAAAGCGGCGAATGTTTTCGTAATATTGTTGCAGGCGTGCGTCTGCCGAAATAAGAAAAACAACATCCAGAGGAAGGAGAGCGGCTATATGGGGCAACAAACTAAAGCTTATGGTATACCGCCATTAACAATGCACCGCCGAATGGTGGGCTTAACCACTCAGCCGCTGAGATGCATCTATTCTTGACAGAAATGGGTTGATATTCCTGCCTGTTCCTTTCACATTTCTGTGAAAGCTTCAATAAAGAAAGCAGAGAAAGAAAGAAAGAAAGAAAGAAAGAACAGCACCAAAGGCTTGAAGTGTAATAGACCCTTCAAGTGTTGACATTTCCACCGCCTATTGTGCTTAAAAGGCACACTTAAGATTCTTTGACATTTGATAGAGGAGCGATGGCTTCCTCGCCGCGTTGCCTGAGAGGAGCGATGCCCACGCTCACACGCAACAGCTGCCGCTGATTTTTCGTTTTTGAGTGCACGACTCCAGCCGCCCACGAGCGCGCGCGGATGCACGCGCACGCGGAGGGCTGCTTTAACACGCGCGCGCGCTGCTCCGTCTTCAAACGGCCCACACACACACACACACACATCTAAACGCACACAGAGGGCCTGTCAATCACAGGGGCCAACCGAGTCGGAGAAAAACAGCTAACTGAAACATTTCAAAAAGATAGCGGGGATGGCAAAGAGTGACAGACACACACAGACACACACACGCACACACAGACAGACATCCCTTCATCTGCAGCCATTGTTGGGTAGCCTACGGAGGGAGCGGTGTGCAGGAGGCTATCAGCACGCAGAGCCGTGGCAGATTAAGCCGTTTGGGAGGAATCCTGCAGCCTCAACAGTTTCCTGAGCTGCCCATTCAACTGCCTCCGGGAAAGGATGAAGAGGAGCAGGTGGAGGCGAGAGGGGCGAAGTGGGGTTTGGGTGAGGGGGGGGGGGGGGGGGGGGATTACAGCGGGAAGGAAAATGGAAGAGAGGCCAAGGGGAGGATGAAAGGGAGAGAGGGAGAGGAGGATTTGCAGACAGTGAGGCGATGGATAAGGATGCAGTGAGGAAGAGGCGGGGAGATTGATCGGACGGGGACGAGGGTGAAGGCGGCGGGTGGGCTTGATGTGCAACGGGCGGGCGCGAGGACCCGCGCGGGAAGAGTGAGGAGGAGAGAGAGGACGGGAGACAGGCAGGAGAGCGAGGGAGGAGGGGAGGCGACAAAAGGTGATGAGGAAGGAGAAATACAGAGGGGGGAGGAAGAGAGAGAAGGATGTTGTGAGCGAGGAAGGGAAGAGATGAAGCGGAGGGAGTGTGACTGAGTGTGTGTGTGTGTGTGTGTGTGTGTGTGTGTGTGTGTGTGTGTGTGTGTGTGTGTGTGTGTTTGTGTGCAGAGAGTGTGCAGAGAGCCTGACGAGCCTCATTAAGACATGCCTGCTATCCAGCAGCTCCCTGTAGACACTGACCCCACTGGGAAACCTCTGTCAGTCAGCACACAAGCACTATCTGTGTGTGTAGTTTGTGTGTGTGTGTGTGTGTGTCATGTTTGGGTTTGTCGGTGTTTGTTTGCTGCTTCTGAAGAAAAGAAGTACAGGGATGCGGCAGCAATATATCTCCTCTAAATGAATGAGGACATTGTCTCATGACAGATGTGTGGATTGTTTGCTAATTGCTTGGATGTCCGCAATAATTATAATTATATATATATATATATACACCCACACAAAGTGCGTGTGCATGTCTGTGTTTGCGTGCGTTTCACTGCTAAGCAGAAGGTCACGGGGAGAACAGAACTCGTGGTGTTGGATGAGTAACACAGAGGAAGCACTCAGCGATCTTCATCAATTACACCGTCTCTTCTACTAGGGAAGCCAATCTGTCTACACACACACACACACACACACACACACACACACAAGCCCCTCATATGTTTCTACCGTGCGGTGAACAGATGTCGCCACTATGTTTGTGCACACTGAATGAGCTTGTATTTTCTAATGTTTTTCATTCATTTTTGGGATGAAACTGAACTTTGACGTATACTTGTGTGTGTGTGTGTGTGTCTCAGCATCCACGTCCACGTTGTTCGTTGTCAGCGTGGATCCTGTCAATGATCGGAATGTTAAGTGAGACCTGTGCGTGCACATTCGCCATAGTCACTCCAGATCAAGTCAAACCCAGAAGACGACTTTGTTGAGCGGCGAGTGCCTTTATCTTCATTTTCTGAAGAAAAAAGAAATGTGCATATGTCTGCATGTCTCTGCTCGTGCTCTGTGTGTGTGTGTGTGTGTGTGTGTGTGTGCACGCCCCCGCCCTCTCATTTCTATTAGCCGCCTTATCGGGAGAAGTATGGCTTCACGCTCTGGGATAAGCCGCGAGTGTGAGGAGAGGCGCTGATAAATCCCTCCATCATTCCTAGTACCCCCCCCCCGCCCCCCCCTCTCCACCCACCTTAATTAAAAAGTGCTATCGCCCAGAGTGAGGGAATGAGAGGGGAGAGCGGGCCGCGCTCATCCATTCAGTCGAGAGCAGGGGTTGTCTCTCTGACTGCTTTTAATCACCCGTTCCACACTGGACTGGACCCAAGCGGAGGGAGAGGATGAGGAGGACGGGCGAGGAAGAGAGATTCATTTTGGTGGCCCTGAGCTCCGCGGCGGGACGGCGGCGCTCTGGGGAATAGAACCCGTGATGGGAGCGGTGTCGGTAGAAAGGAAAAACCCCTCCCTGATTTATACGATTGTATACATACACATATTCAGAGGACTCTTTTTGGGAGGCTTTTTGATAAATGTACGTTCCCTGGTGTGTGTGTGTGTGTGTGTGTGTGTGTGTGTGTGTGTGTGTGTGTGTAGGGATTGGGGGTGCAAACAGCTGACTTTGGAACACATAAAAATCAGCCAAACAACAATCAGACCCCCCGCGATGACATGCGATGCTCACGGACAAAAGCTCTTTGTTTAACAGCGAATGTTAAAAGTGTTTAAAGGGGGATTATTTTCTTCTAAGAACCATCACCATATCCCCAAATCCTCCTGTCCTCCCCCTCGGTCTCCTTTTCTCCCCCCTTCCTCCCTAACAGGATAAGTGCCCCATGCTAATCAGCTAAATGCACAGCGCTGGCCGTGGTGATCAATGGTTCAATGGATCAATCGAGTAAACAGATGGTTGCTGGGGCCTGCAGGCGGAGTGGGGGGGATTGGGGTGGGGGGGGGGGGCTAATCCTAAACGCTACCTGACTCTCTGGCTGACTACAGTATCATGTCTCTCTCCCCCCTGAGTCGCTTCGGCGCTCAGCACCAGCTCGTGACTCTCATACCTGACCGGTATCGAACGGGCCGCCCGGTCAGTCTTTGGCTGTGAATGCTAATAGGCGACCTTGGCGACCCAGGGCCGATTAAAACCCAGAGAAATGCAAAGAATCTATACGGGCGGGGTCACAGAGGAGGGGGGGGGGAGAGAAAGAAGGGCGAAGGCGTAAAACAAATAAGAGAACCGTTTAAAAAAAAAAAGACCAGCAAAGAAGATCCAACAAGAAGAAAGTCCGTTCAGCCACGGACCTGACATTTGGAAAAGAAATCCCACTCTGGAGGAAGTCGATACCGTAGGTGGAAGGATGCACAGCAGCACACTCAATAAACATGCAAATGTGATGCTTAATGGCCTGAATATTAATGCCGGTGGTAGGGAGTAATTGATGTACATGTCGCAGAGGCAAACTACTGTGATTACAGTACAAGTCTTTTCTGCTTTCGGGTACGAGGACTGCAGCAAAAAGCGTCCTTGCGCGGCCCGCGAGGGAACGCCACCAGCGGCGAACAGCAGGCCACAGCTGGAAATGTCCAAGCACCAAACATCTCTCACGGGTCATCAACCTCACAGACTGTCACGGCTTTACACCCGCAGGCGCGCAACGTTTCTCTTCAACAGCATTGTATTTTTGTTCTCTCTTTCTCTCTTTTCAAGGGAAACAATCTTTGCTACTGGAAACGTTCCCAGCCTCCCAAACCAGATGGAGCCGATCGTCAAAACCAGGAGGCTTTAATGTGCCGCCAAGGCTCTCTCTCTCTTTTGGGTTTTGTTTTTATGAATTGTAGATACACTTCACTTCTACCCACTCTTGAGCCGTGCCACATTGAGCGAGAACCGACGCGTTCGCTCTGGATCCAGTGGCCTCAGAACTGTGTGACCCCTGATGCAGCCCCCCCCCCCTCCCCCCCTCCTCCTTCTCCTTCTGTTTCTTCACATTAAGACCCCAGGGGATTTTCTTTGACTTGGGTTTTGGTTCATTCTTCTCGTCAGTCACTGTCTCTCTGCCCCCCCCCCCCCCTCTCCCTCCCTCCCTCCCTCTCTCCTCTCTCTCTCTGCCAACGCTGCACCCTTCTTGTCTCTGAACCTCCCGCTCTGTCTCCGATCTGTTCTCCTTCAGTCTCTCTTTCCTCTGGCATCTGTGCGTAATGTGGCTCTCGGGGGAGCACAGAGGCAGGGACATGCGGTGCAGTGTCTTGGCAGGGGAAAGAGAGAGAGAGAGAGAGAGAGAGAGAGAGAGAGAGAGAGAGAGAGAGAGAGAGAGAGAGAGAGAGAGTGGAGGGCTGGAGGGAGAGGAAGGGGAAGGGGAGGGGGGGAGCTTCTTGCTTGCCTGACTGCCAAGAGGCCCACATCTGCCTCTGATCAAGAGGCGCACAGGCAGCCATGAAACACAAACACGCACGGACAGCGAGAGGGGCGGCGCGGCCGAGTGTCCTATTTACAACAAGTAGCCTAAACACGGAGGAAGGGCCCACGTGAATCGGCCCCCAGCCGGCTGCTGCCACAGGGACTCGACTGTCGTGATGGGATCGGGTACTTCTCCCGGTGGAGAGGAACACTGCTGCCACATGTAGACACACACACACACAGTCGAATGTGCTATTACGACTTAATAAGCATGTAGAAAGTGTTACACACAAAGCAACAAGAGTGTCCCCAACGTGCAAACAACCCCCACCATCGTCGCGCACATTTCTGGTGACATGATGAAGCGAAAACTGATAAATTGCCGTTGTGGGATCATGTTCGCCATTTGGACCACTGTGCTCCCTGGTGTTATATCCACATTTAGTGAGGCTTCTAAATAAATATGGCACCGTCTCTCTCTCGTAACGGAAGGAATTGGCAATCGTGTGGTTTAAGTGCCTTAAAGCAAGGCTCCGAATCCCTAACCAGCTGCAGGGCTCCTATTCGGCGGCTCATCCTGCATAATCTCCCCGCTTATTGTTATTTTATGCTGAGAGCGCACGGAGGAGGCGGCGGTGCGCCGCGCCGCGCCGCGCCGCACGGAGCTGCCGGCACTCAGCCACCGCGGACCTGCCTTCTACCTGCACGCACGACCCCGGGGAGCACGAAGAGATACACGGAGGAAGACTGTGGTGGCCGAGGAACGTAATGGTTATAATGGTGATGATTACAGTGTTTTCCGATGGCAGCGTTACCTTTTACGCACGGTATGGTGCAGATTACAGTGCAGGCTACGCCTAAAAACCTGTTACCTTATCCAGATGTGAGAAAGCATTTTTTAATCGGCCACACGTTTGTTTATTTCCCTTGATGAATAATTAAATGACTGAAAAAACAAGGGGAAACTCGGAGTAAACAATGTGATGTGTGCATATAATCAGCTCATTCACAGTCCAGTGAGCAGCTCCCAGTAGAGCTGGGACAGATGACTGTTTCCGATCCTCTAAATATTTCATGTTTGTTACTTTTAAACGGGCAACAGCTGGCTTGGAACGGAGCTGAATTAGACACACTTCAATTTAAAAAGTCCTCTTTGTTTTGGTCCACACACGCACACACAAATCTGTCTCTATTTATATGTAAATATAGACATACAATTCTCCATAACCTCCATAACCTTTACTCTTTCTCAATAGGAAAAGTAAATAACCATAAAAATAAATCAGCATTGTGTCTAGTCATCATTAGCTGCTCATGCATTCATTTGTTAAAATAGTGTGAAACACACTGGTCTCTTTTGAAAGAAATCATTTTATCCGCCCATCAGATTCCGCCAAATGTCACGTTTAGATTGAGATCATATTTAGTTTTTTCCCCCCATTTTGGCGTGTTTTGGTGGAGCCGGACCATGTGTGCGTAGAAATCAAAGAAGTGAGCAAAACTCACCAGTTTCTCCTCTGACTCTCAACGCTACATGACACATTGTCATCAGAAATCCAATCAGCGATGACTGAAAATCCATCTTGGATGACGCAGGAACTCGCGGCGAGCTTTAAGTTTATAATGTTTCCACCTCGTAGAATATGAAATGCTGCTGTTCTTCCCAAAAATAAAAATAAAAATCCACACCCCGGTTGGACCAGAAACCGGTGGCGGGCAGTTAAAGCGAGACCACTTCAGGAATAATCCCGTTCATCAAACCATTGGTGGTGAAAAATGTGTAAACTACATGTAATCAATGCAAATCTATTTGCCTTTTAAGTCTGTGCATTTAGAGGTGCGATGCCTCTCAGGTGCATCCAGAATACAGTGAACAAACAAACAAACTCCTTGATCAATGCTGCGTGCGCTCCGCAGCTCGGAGGCTTTCTGCGCTCCAGAGACGGCGGCTCCAGGGTGCGTCAAGTTCCGGCCGGTCCCCCCCCGTTTCAACCCCTCTCTGCGTCCCCCGCGATGGGGTCGGTCCTCCCGTTCACAGTCTCAGCTCTCTGAGAAGCGCGTGTCCGAGTGTCAGCAGCTGCTTCTTTTTGAATGCTCGCGGAATAACAGGCGCGACAAAAGGTGCTGCGCGCTCGCTCTCCAAAAGCAACACAAACAAAACCAAAAAAAAAAGACCTCCGACGGCAGCGCTCCTCTCTCTCCTGCGCGTCTTTCTCCCTCTCTGCTAGCGGCTCCGCTCCGTTACAGCCTGACACGGAGCCCGGCGTGCGTCCTGCGACCGCGTCTGGGAGGCGTGCGTAGTGAGTTGTGCGCGTGTGCTGGAGGGATCGAGCTTTTTGAGCCGAGCAGCTATCGCGTTACAGTCACGGCGCCTCGGCTCCGCCCCCTCCCGTAAGGTGGCTGTTCATAGGGAGGGGAGAGAGAGAGAGAGAGAGAGGGAGAGAAGGGGGGAGCACGTGGACGCACCAACCGCTCTCTTGCAGAAGATCCCACAGATATGCGCTCTTCCACAGATAAGACACATTGTAATGGTAAACCGGGATGCAGAGCTCCTCCCGAGGCCGCCTTCAAAAGGAACGCAGAGGGGGGAGAGAAAAGTCCAGGACGGGGAGAGAGAGGGAGGAGTGCGTCTCTGGGGTTAGGGGTGGTAGCCCATAAGACATGGCACAAGGCCGCCTTACACCGCGAAAGACACATGAAACGGCCCAGCCAAAGTCGGGGCGCTCAACCCAAACGGGAGCCCCCCGGCCCTGCCCCCCGCGCCCCTGCCCCGCGCCTCTGCCCTGCAATCAGCCCGGCCTAAATACAGAGCGGGAGGCCGTGTAATGACACGGCGAGCGAGCCCAAAATAATCCGCCGAGAAAGGCCTCTCCGGCGTCCGGCCCATGCGCCCTGCCTCTGGCTTGTGTTACCGTGTCATGCAAGGGCCCGGCTGAGGCCCCCCTCCCAGCCGCGCAACGAGGCCCTTTATTTGGAATGGCTAGGTGCATCCTGCAGGTCAGGGAGAACAGGGGGGTGTAAGGTGAAGTTATTACTTACTTCTACTGGCTTTTAAAACAAAAACGGCAAGCATAAAATAACACGCTTTCGGAGATCCTCGCCGACTCGTTCTCCTGGGACAGCCCCGGGGCGCGAGCAAGGTCAACAAAGGACCAATACTTTCCCCCCCCCTTTTTTTTTTTTCTCTCCCCCCCTTTTGAACGCCCTTCACGAAAGGTTGTGTGACAGGTTCGGGTGCCACCGTCTGCCTGTCAGCCCCGTCAACTGTCATCCTCGGCTGCTCCACCCCCCCCACAGGTGGAGTAGATGCCATCGACTTGCAGCTTTCGGTGTTTATTATTTATTTTTCAAGCCCCCCGCCCCCCCCGAAGACCCCGAGGGTGCGGCGGGCTGTCAGATGTCGCCGTGATTGGCTAATCTGAGCCTCAGGAGGTGCCGGAGGGAGGGGTGGTGGGGGGGGGGGGTCGGCACTGTTTGCCATGCTGTATGAGTGTATCGATGAGTGGATGATCAGTCTTCTGACGTGAGGCGGCGATCTTCATGTAGCCCCCCCCCTCCCCCCACGATGACCCCCTCCACGAGTGAGATAAAGATAGAGACGACACAGACACTATCGGAGTGACACGGGGCCACTTCTTACTCCGCTCTGTCCCTCCCTCATAGTCCCCCGGGGTCATTTGATACTCCTCTCTCCCATTTGTCAACATCTCTGCCCCCACCGTTGGGGCCCCCAAACACCCCCCCCCCCCCTCCCCTCACACAAATATTGGGTCAACGCATGGCTAATGGAGCCCAACAGTCCACCAGAGAAAGAGGGGATAGAGAGGAAATGTTGTATTGATCTCACTCGCCTTCATATCCCCGATTGGGTGAGTTTTTTTCTTTTCCCACGTGGAAAATGGAGGAGTTTTCTGTTGGTGGAACCCATCCAGCCGAGCCGTCCCTCCCCAGTTCCTCTTCTCATCACTTAAAACGTGCTGCAGTAAAGATGAGCACTATAGACATTGGTGTAGGAGGCTGTGTGCGGGTACCACAGCGCTGACATCCAACACTCGACCCCCCCCCCCCCCCCCCCGCAGCTGCGACGTGCGACCCTGACGCCTTAAAGGTCTTTACCATCCTTGTTCTCTCTGTAGCCCCCCCTCCCTCCCACACCTGGGCTGCGTTCACTCGTGGCTAGTGGAGGGTAACACAACAAGGTCTGTCTCCCCCGTTTCGTGTGTGTGTGTGTGCGAGGGAGAGGGGGGGAGAGAGAGGAGGGGAGACAGATAGCAGCCGCTGCCATACTGCCTCGCTTATCACAACCTGCCCGGGAGACTGACAGCATGACTGATAACTCCCCCCCCCCTCTTTCACTCCCCCCCGTCTCTGTCACACACACACACACACACATCCCTCTACCTCTTTCACTCTCTCAGCACTTCGCCTCACTCTCGTCCCCCTTCTCCCCCGGTCAGCCGGCTGTAGGTTCGAGGAGGAGGGCGCCGTGCGAAGGTCTAGTCGTCCCCTCGAGAGGCGGAGTCGAGGCCTTCGGCTCTCCTCTCTTCCTCGCCGACGGACACGGCTCCAGATCTGACGGTGGGGAGATAAGCCAGATAGCCTCGACTTGACCCTGTCAACATCTCCAGTGAGTGAGTGTGTGTGTGTGTGTGTGTGTGTGTGTGTAGGGTGGGATGAGGGCATTGAAAGCACATCAAGGTTCAAGGAGGGTTTGATTTAGATCCCTTTGGTAATCGTTGGGACACCTCAGCTAGCAAATTTCAGAGCTTTGCAACCATTTTTGGGGGATTTATAAGGAAATAAACTGTTTCTCACACACACACACACACACACACACACACGCACAGAGGCAGATCTCTTTGAAAGCCTGTGGGAGCCACGTATTGAAATGCAGCATCTTTAATCTGCTCTGTTTGTTGTATTTTTATCTTCACACTTTCCTTTGTAGCCGCACTGACCCAATTTCCTCTCGGGACCATGAAAGTTTTCACCCGATCTTTATCTCGGGAGCACACCGACCTGCGCGCACACCCCTTTGGATAGTTATCCTGATCACACTAACTCCCTCCAGCGAGGAAGATTCTCCCTCCTTTCACCGGGGGAGCTCTCACATCCTGCACTATATCTAGACTTACTGCCACTGTTGAATTCCTGATGGACCACCCAGGCGATGGGCATGCCCTGGCCAGGGTAATAATTACACACACACACGTCAACCCGCTGCACGGCGTGCACTAATCTGGCCTTTGCCGCGCTGGCTGGATTGTGTGGAAACATCTGGTGTCTGGCTGCTGTCTCACCCGCACTCCTCCTCCTCCCTTTTTGTACGCGCTACCTCCGACAGCAGGAACCGCACGATCACGTAAACACTTTGGAGCTGCATTTAGAGCTGAAGTTTGGCCTGAAGATCTTGTGCCTGTGAGCGAAGAGCATGTGGCGCTTAATCTCGGGTGTTGGTAAAACCCCTTCAGGCAGCAGAGAAGGCCGCCGGTGCACGGAGCTCCATCGAGCGCCGGGTGAGTCATTTGCAGTACGCGGCTGAGCCTAACGGGGGCAGGCAAATGCATCAAGCAGAGGCGTTTACAGGGACCAGACTCCAGGCAAGCTCTGTGAGCACGGTGTGAATATGTTCCTACTCGATGTTATATAATGCCACATCAGAATGATTAACATTATTAAGATCAACATGCGCTCGACAGCTATCTACACATTTAATTTGCGTAGCGGCGTAATCCGTAAAAAGAGTGCACTTAAAATCAAGCGAGTTGTGTTAATCATTCACTAAATAAGTCACAGTGGATGATCGGCGTGTGCTAAATGCCCTATTTCGATGGATTTACCCGCTTGCTTTGTGAGTTGCTGCTTTTGATTCGGGTGTGAGCTCTGCTTGTTCCACTAGCTGCTGTCAGCTCGGTTCAAAAAAAAAAAAAAAGGTTGTTTGCTCACTTTAATTGCAAGATGCCGACTCTATTCCCCCCGGCGCCTTTTGTTTATGATACAGCATCATTATCCTCTCCTCTTCATCGGCCCGTACACCAGGATCTATTTTACTTCTGCTCCGTCTCTTTCATCTCTTTCCACCGACCTCCTGTGTGTCTTTATAGTCACATCAAAGTGACCTCCGCCCCCCCACTCCCCCACTCCCCCTTTTCCCTCCTTTTTAGCCCAGAGGGAGTGGAGGGGGCTTATCCAGACAGCAACACAATACCTGACATGATGAGCAGTTTTCATTGAACAATGAAAATACAAATGCATAAAACAAAACAAAAAAATACAGATGTTTCAGCCAATATGTAACGTGCGTCATCTCGTCTGTTGTCCTAATAAACATGTTATTGCGAGCGGAAAAACGCAATTGTGCATATAGACACATGTATTCATACATTTGAGTGTGCCCCTTTTTGTGCACTCGTTCATGCGACGTTGTCTCCCCCCGGCCCCCACCGGCCCCCCTCCCGGCCCCCACTCGCGTGGGCGTTTGTCGGTTCCAAGCGCACTCCATCACGGCGGGAATGAGTGCTGCATTAGGGGGGCAATAATAAAAAGACAAGAGGCCATTCTCCACGGCTTGTTTACTCTGCGGGGCCTTTATCACTGGGCCTCCGAAGGGAAGATCAGCGCTTGAGAAAGCGGGGAGAGAAAATCCTGGCGGACAAGTGCATGATAATGACAGGGAGAGAGAGAGAGTGTTTTTAAATTGGGGGAGGGAGGGGGGCAGATAAAAGTGTTGCACGGCTTGGAGCTGCAGTTCACTCTGCTGCTACCACGAGGAGAAGGAGAATTGAGTCTTTAACGTATGAAGTTGAGCACTTTAACAACGACTAGAGACATTCTGTAACGTTACATCATCCGTGGGTTGTTCTTGTGTAAATAGAGCCTCTTATACTCCGCTGGGCTAAATGGAGAACTTTTTAATTCCATATTTTCCTTACTGTCAACAAACAGAAGGAGCGGCACTTTTTAGCTCCAGTACGTTTCCACCAAACAGGAATACGGATGTAGAATTCAAACAAGAGTTTAAACTTAAATTGCAAAATGATCTGTTGTATGAAAACCAAAAGTGCAGGCAGCCTGTTTCTAACTTTAGAGTTGGATGGAAACCGAAAGAGGACCAGGGACACTTGATGGGGACAAGTATCATATTAGTCAGAATAGTGTAAACATAATCAACTATACAGAAAGGTATTTGCCAAGATTTCAATTAAAACGGCCATATTTTCTAATACATTTTGTTATTTTGTATTTTTAATATTTACCTTTGTTATGGTAACATTGTACATAAGCCATGCTGCGTGTGTGTATCGCGTTCATGGTCCCGAGCCACGTACATCC